TCTAAACTCAGTCAGCACTGGTGTTGTGGTTTAACCCCAGCCAGCACCTAAGCCCCACACAGCCACTCACTCAATCCCCCTGATAGGATGGGGAAGAGAATTGGAAGGATAAAGTAAGAAAACTCCTGGGTTGAGATAAAGACAGTTCAATAGGTAAAGCAAAAGCCACATGCACAAGTGAAGCAAAGCAAGGAATTCTTTCACCACTTCCCATTGGCAGGCAGGTATTCAGCCATCCCCAGGAAATCACGACTCCAGCATGCATAATGGTTACTTGGGAAGATAAACACTATCACTCCTAACATTCCCCATTTCCTCCTTCTTCCCCTAGTATTACTGCTGAGCATGACATCACATGGTCTGAAATGTCCCTTTGGTCAGTTGGGGTCAATTCCTAACTCCTTGCGCACCCCCAGCCTCCTCGTTGGTGGGCTGGTGTGAGGAGCAGAAAAGCCTTTAACTCTGTCTGAGCACGGCTCAGCAATAACTAAAACATCCCTGTACTACCAACACTGTTTTCAGCACAAAACCAAAACATAGCAACATACTGCCCACTATGAAGAAAATTAACTCTATCCCAGCCAAAACCAGCACATTCTCCATCCCTAATTCCATACTATTTACATCATGCTAAGGTAATACACTATCTGATACAACCTCATTAATCACCACCCCTCTTCCCATCCTTTGATATAATACACAGATGTCATTTGCCTTGTCTATGAACCACCCCTGTAATATGTCCAAAGACAGAGTTTTCTTCCACATTTCAGAGTACCTTGCATAACTAGTTCTAAAGTTAGTGTAACAAATTAAAAAGCAGTAACAGCCATATTCAACACAGAGCTCATCTACCATTCTCTCTCTCCACATGCTTTTCACAGTGAGGCTGTGTGTAGCTTTGTTTTCCATGGAGAAACCTCTCTGAGATTTCTTATGTAGTATGACATGTTATACTACACAGAAAACAGACTGCATCATCTACTCCAAGAATCCAGGAAAGAAACCTATGGCCAGAGTATGTCCACTATTTTCTTCCACAGTGGCAGTGCACATATTTATTAGGGAAAGTTAACAGGACATTAAAAAAAGGGTGGAGAGTGAACATGAATCCCTGGGTAGGGCTGGTAAGCAAATCCCTGGTGAGTCACCTGTAGACTGATGGAAGGAAAGAACAGTTGAGACTATGGGAGAAAGGTGAGAAAAGCATGAGCAGGACAAGCCAAGGAGAGCAACTGAACCTCTCCAGAGATAAATGGAAAGGGTGTGCCGGATCCTCTGCTTAAGTTAATGACAACTTGGTTTATGTTAATTGCAGACTGTCACTATTTTACATTAATTGGACAGGTTATATCCATTGTCAGAACTGTGGGTCAAACTGCACATATATTGATTGGATTTACTGATACAAGAGGCACTTTCAGTGACCAATCCATTGGTATAAGTTTTTGGTACATAATCAGCGTAAGAGTCAGAAGAGTATTTGTCAGACAAATCCTTGACTGTTGGGACTAATTTCCAATAATCTCTCACCTACAAAATGAGCTGGTCTGTATCAACTCACAGATCTATCCTAAATTAATTTCCAGATTATTTGATGCTGAGATGTCAAGATAAGCTTCTGGGATTGACACACATTACAACTGAGAAAAACAGACAAAAAAGCAGGGAAGAAAAAAAAAATGCTTTCAACAGCTCTGTAAACATTCCCTCCTGAAAACAAAAACACTCTGTTCTAGTTCTAGGCAATATCCAAACTGTGGTCCTTTAATAGATTCCTGGTTTACATTAACAACGAGAACAACTGCTTGAGTTTCTGTTACTAAAATACTTCACAAGTTGCTTCTGCAGTTCTTTTTTCCTCTTAAAACTGAATAGGAGTGCTTGATCCTTCCTACCTACGTAGGTAGGCTATTTTCTCTGCACCATCTGGGAAAGTCAGAAGTCCTCCGACTTCTATTTTTCAACCTACAAGAATCACTTGAAGCAACCACCCACGTGATCAACGAATATATTTACTTAAACCCTTCTGGGTTTTGCGATATTCTCGTTTACAGATATAGTTCCCTCAGCAGTCAGTAAAATTCCACAGCCTGGTAATTTTCTACATTTCACATAAGTTGGCTGACAGAGTGACCTGAATTTCTTCTGTACATGTTTTTTTATTACCAATTTCACCCACTCCTAGTGGTAGACAGAGAGGCTGTATGGTTGGCTAAGCTGAACATTGGAACGTCATTTGAATGTCACTCCTCCCTGGAAATCAAAAATTTCAGTCTAAGCAGTAGCAACAATAACTCCAGACTCTGTAAAGTTTTGAGAAAAATACCTGACCAATATCTTTTGAACCAGGACAACCTTTACAGCAGCTATATAATACTGCACACTGGTAAACGTTTAGTGAAGTAGCCTGTTCAAGTTTGACATTCATTGTTTTAGTCACAAGGAGTTAGAATGAGTGAAAACTAAAATCTGTCTCAGAAGAAAAAAAAAACTGTTTGATATTAGCACTCTGCTTAGCAACGACTCCAGTAAGAGAGACAGGGCAAGGGACACAACAGCCTTGACCCCAGTGACACACCTAGTCACCCAAAGTACAGACACCCTCCTCACCTTCACCCGGTGAGTATCAAAAGCACTAAATGTCTCCTCAGAAAACTCCTCCCTTTATCAGTAGTCCCTTGCTCTAGTTTACCCTATCAGAAACAAAAAAACTTTCTTCAAATGTTTTAAAGTAACACAAGAAGATCCTGGTATTCTAATACTCCTCTTATGCAGAGGTGGGTGTTAACAGAGAAGCAAGCTCTGCTACTTCCAGCCATCACATGCAGCCCACTGCTGAAGGTATATGCGCATTAGTTGCTGAAAGCCTAGTTTGTTGGGTGTCTTGTTTAATTGTTTAAGTGAGACTAGCGTATATTTATTTAATACAGCTAACTCGTCATGTAAACAAGGTATCATTTGCCTTCACTATGTACAGATGAATTTATATTCATTATGAGTACTGGCACAGAATTAAACAACGTTCTATGGGCAGGAAATGCAGCCTTTTCTTTTCTCCTAGTCTGCTGAAGCATGAAGATACAGATCTAGGGTGTGTAAACAGCTTACTACTGATTATGAAGATGTAACTTCATTAAACATCCTGGATATTTTGACAGGGAACGTGTTTCATACCGGCCACAGAAGGCCAGTATGTTGGCTTAAGTACCCCAACTTTGCCATAGTAAGCTACCACTGATTTCAGTCCAGAAATCAAATCCAGATAACACTTCATAAACAAACCCTTTTTTGTTTATTTTACAATACTAAATTAGTGAGGGTCTAATATACTTAGTGCTAAACAAAAGTGAAACTGAAATACATTGGAAAAAAAAATACACTATTCAGTTCAGTAACACCTGAATTCAACATCATATTATATCGTACCATTCTTTTACGGAAAAAAAAAAATAATTACAATTGAAGGGTAGGATTTTGATAAGAAGTCAAGGTAATCAGGCATCCAGCTGTGATCACATTTTACAGCTAGGATAGCTTCCCCACCTTGTATCCTGCCCTTGTTTCAGCAGAAATGACAAACATGAGCAGAGAGTGCTGAACTGAATCTTACCAGGCATGCAGAAGTTAATACTGTCCTGTTTTATACAAAGTCCTTTCTGCACCCCTAAAAACCCTATTATATAACTTTTTATATATAGTTGTCAGGTGTCTCTTATGAAATCTCCCACTGAGCACCAACTCTCATTCCATTTCTTACAATGAAGACATTCTGATCCACCAGCTACCTTCATTCTTGGTGAAGATGAAAATGAACTGAGGGCAAATGTTATGTGTATAGCAAGTGCTGAATTGTGAATATTTTTGTTCATCTTTTACTATATTAAAGGTCCACTGCCCTTGGAAAGAGACAGAAATCTGCCCAGAGCAAGTCATACTACCTATCTCTGATGCCAAGCTAAAAAAAGAAAAAAGAAGTAGCAACATTGACTGTGTTTATTGAAGTATATATTAATTCCAGCTTTTGAAATTATAATCCAGTAGAATTGCAAAAAAACAGTGTGCAAAAAAAAGTACATTAAACATATACTGGCAAGCCTAATAGGCCCAATTCCTTGCCTGTTTCTCTAATTTGTAGTCCTTATTAACTCCATGGATGTGAATGCAATTACACAGGAATCATACTGAAATGATTTATCAGTCACAGGCCATAGTCAGTGTAACATTTATTTTCTCCTACAAAGTTGGTGTCTGGTTGTCTGACTGTCTGAAATCGATTCTGGTATTTTCTATAAGAAGGCAAAATCAGATTATACAGAGAATGTAAAAGTAGATTTCAAGTTTTAACCCCATCCCTAATAAAATACAGGATACGGTCTATAAGAAGTTAGCTTTATGTTCCTCAGATAGCTGCCTAATGCTTTTGTCAGCACCACACAGAAGTGTTTCCATGGCGTACACTCAGCGTGATCATGTGGTACTGCAGGACCCTTCAAGGTTATTAGTCTGTTCTTTCCACAGGAAGAGGAGCTGCCCCAAGAGGCAACCTAATAATGGGTTCTTACATATGAAATGCTCCACACCCCTTGGACTTCATAAATTAGCAGGAGTTTTTCCTAAGGAGCTGCCTGGCACCAGTTACAGTTTTGAATGACAGAATAGTTACATGCCATCTGCATAACTGTAAAGCAACACCGTATTAAATTTGTTCCAGGACCTGTTATTTGTGGAGGAGTTGTATTTTATTTGTATGATATGTTTCTTTATTAGACTGAATCTTAACAAAATATACGTACATATATCTATATACTCCTCCCAAAATGCAAATACCATTGGCTGGTTTCTGAGAAAGGAAGAGGATCCTCTATTTACCTGTTCATTTGCTAAAATCCCCAAAACTCCACCTTTCTAGAATCTCTGAATCAATCTGGGACTGAAGCCAAAGTTACCTACTATATAAGAGCGACAGAGCACAGGTGAACTACTCCTCCTGACCAACTTTAGACCTGACATACTTGTGCCAGACTCCACTCAAGATGGGGTCTGGCAGGGGGATATGGGTACCAGAATGGGCTTTCCTGTTAGCAGCTTGTTGTATCCATCTGATAGGTAAGAAGCTACACTCTTTTATTGGGGAAAAAAAAATAATACTCTGTTTAGATCCAGTAATATATTTTAAACAACGATACTCATTATTTCACTTAACAGATGGTCGCATTTAAAAATATTTCTTTGTTGGTTTCTTTTTCAATTTTCATTAAATATTTAATGTCTCTCTATCAAGTGATTTAATTTAATATTTTAATAATAATTTAAGATTGCCTTGCACTACTGCATATAACTACCTTTGGAAGGCAGCTTTGAAGACAAAAACCAAAAAGAACCATTAATCATGTCTTAAAATGTCAGGTTTTCAGTATCACTTAATGCCTTACAGAAGTATTTTGTCCCTGCTGCATTTTGTATTAGGGTTGATTATTGTTCTTTTGCAATTTAAACCACTGCAATTTCCAGTTGCTAGATCAGACCACTGCTCAATCTTTTTCAGCATCTTGTCACCTACCAGGAGCTGATATCAGATTCTTCTAGATTTCTTGCAATTTCTGTTGCAAAAGAGACTAGAAAGGAATATTCATGTGGCAGTCCTTTTCAGTAACTAATTCTTCACTGATAATACCCTATGCAAAGAATATAAAATACTGATGTTAGTTGTGAACAGGACTGGGAGATTTGGCACATGCAATCCACCATTTTGCATGTTTTTTTTTTCCCTCCTGTCAATTATTATATCTATCAGGGCTGGTCTTGGCAGTGTTTTTGATATGAGTAGCCCTATTAAGTCAGTGGGACCACTCATATTGAAATTGCATGAGTACAAGCTTGGTAGGTCAGTCTCATTCATGTATAGTAATTACTGCCCTGTTGAAAACATTTTTATATCTTCTGATTGTCTATGTAAATTTATCTTGCATATCATTTTCAAAACATTAAAAAGTCCAAATACACTTTTAGGCTACTTTATAGATTGCGAAATAAACATTAAAATACTGACAAGTTGATTTAAGCACAAAATACAACAGCCACTTAGAGTACAAGCTGATGTTTAGAGTTACACAATGTCAGTAAAAAGCATCTTCAGCCATTCATTGAACAAGGAAGTTATTTGTACTGTGCAACGCTAATCTCATAAACAGCTTTGGAAAAAGAGCAATGGTTAGACAATGTCCAGCAAACTCCACCTTATTTGGATCAAGCTCCATGGAAAATATTTTCAAATGCCTCGAGTGACTAAAAATTATTAGCCCAATTCCACACTATGTCCACATACATCCTGCGCCTGACTATATTTTGGGTCAAATACTAACTTTCATAAATCGTTTGTAATGATAATTGCATATGTGGATTGGCAGCTGGATATGACTTAGTAAGATGCATCTAGAAATATTCTTAATAAGTAGGTAGGTTCCCAAATTATCAATTAGTAAATTATCTTGACTATCCTTAAACTAAGAGACATTTATTTTTATAATGGTCAACCACATGGCATTGTGCAATTGCTAAATAAACCAATGCAGCTAGAATTTCCTTGCGAATGATGTATTTGCTAAGTAAACAAAAGCCCCTGCTATTTCCTTGAGAAAAATTAACAGACCAAAATACATGTATATACTATTCTGCTCTGTTAGAAAGGTTCTCATGCTAGAATAAACAAACATTCTATGATTCTATGCCAGATGAGATTCCTATAGATGTGCTGGGTGAGAACAAATTCTGGTCTATTATTAAAACTTACAGAGGCATTTGTCTCACCTGATCAGTATCAATTTCTCTCACCAGATGAATTATAATGATATGAATGCATTTACTTAATTACATTACCTGTGATACTGAAACACTAACAGGAAATAAAAATTTGTTTTAAATCTATCCTAAGTTACTTATTTATACATCACCAGAGGTCACTCACAAAGTTAAATGAGAAAAGAATTAAAAGCTTAGGTCTGAAACAAACTGCAGACACTGCAGCAACTTCTAGATATAGTGATGCTGCTCTGGGATCAAGTACTCAATCTGCTTACATAGTGGAAACACTTAGGAGTTACATCAGAAAAATAATTACAAGAGAAAAAAGGTGCCCTGGTCCAATCATTCTTAAGGCAAAGGTAGCTGTCCAGCTTTCATGGAGGTATCTGGGTTGTTTCTTAAGTGAAGGAAATCGTCAGCAACGAATGTAAGCACCTAAGGTCACTGAAGTTTACAGCACATCCCTGATTTCATCATTTCTCTTTACTCCACCAACGTGGCTCCCTGTTCAGTGAGATGGGTGTTATGGATCCATTTCTGAGTCAGTGAACTCTTCCCACCTACTGTATAAGGAAAAAAGGGGGTTTAACTTAAGACTTAATTACAGAGGCAGTCCCTCTTTTAAAGAGAAATTCTCTAGACACCTAGACTGCTCATTCACATAATCCTGAGGAGGATTCAGATATTAGTAATTTCATCACCTAAATCTTTTGAGGATTTAGACTTGGCAGGTTACAGGTACCAGTTATTCAACATATTCCAAGCACGGTTATCACATGCTGACAGGATTCTGTCCTTCACAAAATAAGGATGTACCTATTTTTCTCTTACAGGAAATTTTTTACTTATATTTCCTGATAAAAGACAAGAGCTTAGAGCATTAATCTAGAAGCTCAGGGTTAGTGTTTTCTAGGCATCAAGTTTTCATGTCAAAATTCTTCATCTCTCAAAAGTCTTTGTTAGTATTTCTGCTGGTATCATATTGCTGGGCCATGTACGGAAAGGAATTAAAAATGTACGGAGTCAAGATAGAGAGGAGACCTCATCTGTAAGACAGTTCACATAGTTGATCTCCTAACCATTTAACTGGAGGTACAAAAATAATCCTTGAAGCAAGGCACAATACTAGGAAAGCTTTGATGCAGCTGAGTGTCCTTAATCATGTGGTCACATGAGCATGGCCTGTATTTTACACCTCTGTACCACTGTTTTCAGCACAGTGTCTCAGCTTCAGGTGGTGTAGCAAGAACCCTTGGTCAAATGATGCTTAAGGTTTTCTGCAAAGAAGATGTGAGTTTGAAGCATTTCAGAGTAAGAAGAGGGCTAGAAGAAGAAACCTGGTTCTTTTGGTTCCTTCTCCTGGGTTACTGCTCAGGCTATGGACCCTTGTATTATCATTCAGAGGTGCATTCTTACATCCAGTTGAAAGGCAAATCTAGATCCCTGACTGAGGCTCTAGATTTGCTCCTGAAGAAAAGGCCCTATGCTTAGGTGTAAAAGAAACTGGCATAGAAGTATCTACAGCCATTGGCAAATCGAGCCCCAAGTCCCTTTTTTCTTTTAACCAGTTCTGTGCCCTTTCTTATTATTGCCTAGCTACTGCACAATTCTTACACTTTCTAATTCTTCCTGTAATCGTTTCACTTATTAATGAGATTTAGTGCAGCAGTGAATTAAGGGCAGTGATCCAGTTATTAGAACAAAGAAATGAGATATAAATGAATTGTTATTTGAACTTAGAGCTGTATTTGTAATAGAAGGTATTAATGCATTTTACCTTTTGGAGGCAACAGTTTCCTTTCTTCTGATGTGATAGAGGACTCTCCCCTTTGTCTTATATAGATACATCTGGGTCCCTTGATCACATCTAAAAGCTTTGATTTAAAAGTTCAGATACAGAAAATTGTATTTAATATGCTTTTTACAATTTATTCACAGGAGCTGACACTGAAATCCAGCAGGAAACAGGAAGCAAATACATGGAGGTTATTCAGCAGGAACAAAACAGTATGTTTGTTTATACTGTGTGTTTGTATCTATTTGCCACATCTCTGCTTAATAATGAAAATGCCTAAAAAACCTCCCTAGATATTGCCAGTAATGTCAATTAAAGATAGATGTGTATTAACAAGCCCCTTTCTCTATAAGAATAGTATATTTGATAGTATACTAGGTAACAGATACCAAATACTAATCACAGAGTAGTTATATTTCTGTAATAACAGGCAACTAAGAAAAGAGGTGTGTGTTTGTAGAGGCTGTATGCATATGTGCATTAATATGTATAAAATAATACCAAAGCGGAATACACATGCAGTGTTTGGTTCCATATAAACAAGGAAATGAGATCACTTTGGCAAACTGTAAAGTCAGCAGCTGATGTTGATAAATCAAGATGGCAACCCAACTGCATTGATTTTTACAATGTAATGATTTGTGATCATCCTGTTAACAGATTTGTGGCTGTTTCTAAAGGGTTTCAGCCCCTTAACAGAAAAATACTAAACAGAGAGCAAAGAGGATAATTAAGTTGTTTATTCCCTCCTTAGAAAGAGAAGGTTTAATGAGAAGGCAATGCTTTTGTACCAGTAATAGACTAATCTAGTACCGCTTAACCCTTTGAAATTTCTAGTGTTTCTGAAGCACTCCAATATGCAGAGCTGTGAATTTCTGCTTCTGCTAACACAAAACAGACTTCCACAAAAGGGTCAAAAAGGTAGAAAATGCAGATCATCACAGTTGAAAGAAATTTCTTATGATTTAACTATACTGATTTTGAATTTTAGTACACACTTTTAACCTACCCATGGCCTGTGAAACAGCAAACAGGCTTAACATTGTTTCATTAGAGCTGGCATATTCATTTCCTAGTCCTTTCTAGATAAATTTTAGGTGCAAATGTTGGTATTGTTATACTAGTTTTTTGGTTTATTTCTTTTCTTCTAGCTTCTGCTATGGTAAACATCATCTGGCCAATGCTGACAAATCCATTAATAAGACGTAAGTAGAGGAAATTAAATGTATTCAGTAAGTTTTCAGCTTTAGGAAATGCAGACAGAGAAATGTAATACAAACAGGGAAAGGGACTGGTAAAGGAAGTCATGGATTCTTTAGAAGAGAAATACAGTGATTAAGAAACATAATATTGAAGTGTTAGCTGAAATGCAGATGTCTAATAAAGCTCTAGCTGGAGATAACTATAACCATTTATAGGGAAATATGAGTAACAGATATGAGTGAAGAGTGAATATACAGTTTTATAATGGATAGATGGACAGAAAATAACAAATAGAGGTAGGCAGATGGGAACTATTTAATGATAAAATGAAACCTAGAGAAAGTTGATTTTCACACTATTAAGGTTGAGAATTTTAAGTCATGTATTTACAGCTAGTGTTAATTCACAGCTTCCAATCCTGCTCACAATGGTCGCGTGTGCAGCACATGGGGTAACTTTCACTTCAAGACCTTTGATGGAGACATATTCTCCTTCCCTGGACTCTGTAATTACATTTTTGCATCCCATTGCAACACTCCCTATGAGGATTTCAACATCCAGATTAGGCGCACAGTGGTGGAAAATGCTCCAACAATCAACCGTATCACCATGATACTTGAAGGTGTAGCTGCTGAGCTAACAAAGGATGTTGTAACGATCAACAGCAACAGGTGAGTTCATTCATAACACTTGTTTGGTAACCCCATACATTTTTTTCAGACTTGAAAAGTACTTTGGTGTATTTTGAGGGGCGAAATTATGTTTTTCAATAAATCTGACAATTTTACCACCATAAATAAGTTGCTATTAATTCCTTTCACAGTAAATGAATCCTTCCCTTAAGGATTAACTCAGAAATACAACTTGGATAAAAAATCCTGAGAATTTGGATCCAAATTCAGATCCATATTTGATGATGTTATACCATCTTATGTTTTAATTGCTTTTCTTTCCACATAACCACATTATTTTAGAATTCCTACACATGCTGGATACCACAAGCCTTTTTTTTTTTTTTCCTCTTTATCAAACATCTGGATCAGAAATACCTAGATTTCTTTCTGCCTTTTCCCAGAGTTCAACTGCCATACAGAGAATTTGGAATTACGATAGAGAAAAGCAGCATTTATGTCAAAGTTGCCAGCAAAATGGGTATTGTGTTAATGTGGAATGAAGATGACAGCATCCTGGTAAGAACTGCTCCTGGACCTGTCTGCACCTTCAGGGACCTGAGCTAATTTTTGAATAGGCTGGTCCCTATCTGTTTAGGAGGTTATTATTACCTTCTGCTATCATACTGTTGAGCAATTCTTTCTTAGTATTAGATAGATAGATCCAGGTAGTCCTAAAGAAAATTACAGGGATTTACATCTAGTGGATAGCAGGCATCTGCTTAAAATAGGGTAAAAAATCACTTTCATTGTATCATTAACACATTGGCATTGTTATAGGGCATACTTACCCCTTCAGGTACAATTTTCTAGCAGAATTTCACTCTTTTAGGACTTCATTTTTACTATGGATTTCATTTTCTTTCTGAAGAAGGAATAGAAAGAAAGAGGCTAATTGCAATACAGATAATACGGTGAAAACATAAGTCTGCATCAATAGCATCAATAACTTGAATTCTGTGGTGTAAATCAAATCCAAGCCAACTCTTCGTTCTATCACCCAGGTTTGAATTCAACTGCTAAATAAAGTTACACAGTTGTGAAAATACTTAGAGGCAGCAGTTGCATGTGCTTTCAGTGGTCTTCAACATATTTTTAAATGTTAACACTAACATCTATCAATTTACTGTTCATTATTTTAGCTGGAATTGAATGAGAAATACGCTAATCAGACCTGTGGACTTTGTGGGGACTTCAATGGCTTTCCAATTTACAATGAGTTCTATTCAAACAGTAAGTTTTCTAAGTAATACAATTGGTTTCTGAAGTCTTCAGCTTGCTTTCTTCGTATTCTTTTCACTCTAACATAATCAGCATTCATCTTTTCTATCCTGTTAAATGATTTATCCAGAAGTTATGATTCAGTCTCTGTTGACAAATATGTAGTGCAGAGATCAGGTAATGTGATTTAATATTTTAAGCAAAAATACAGTACTCATGCTAAAAACTGATTGCATATTCCTTGTATGCCGTGGTTTATTTACGTTATCAGCTAATCCTATAAAAATGAGTCAGATTTCAACTAATAACAGAAATAGCTATAGAAATATATTCAAAGAAAAATGCAATTGTATTGTCTAGGTACTCCATTTATTGTTTCAGTTCTGTCTTAAAATTGGTATATCTACATTTGCCTGATGAGTTGCATAATTTTTGTAAGATCTTATCTTCATCATTCTATACAGCATGGGATAGCATTCTATCCAGCATCAATCTCCATTGTCCAAATCCCTCTTTAGATTCTTTCTTTAATCCCTGCATGAGCTCAACATAATCTGAAAACAGCTTGTTATTTTTCTACTAAAAATCTTAGTTTGCATCCAGAGGTAATAGGCTGAAAATTGTTTTCTAATGTTTACTTTTTCCATGGTGCTCTGCAAGAAAAATTGAAACAGGGATGTAGTGTTTCCTTTGAAAGGGGAGATGATCAAATTTAAAGACAAGGGCAGTAGCTGCCTTGGCCAGTCTTGAGCAGTATTTTTGAGAGAAGAAAAAGATAAAGCACAGTTCAATTGAACAAAAAACCCCCAACCTTCATTATTAAAATTCTTTTGTGCAGATATTAAGATTACAGCAATGCAGTTTGGGAATATGCAGAAAATGGATGGGCCAACAGAAGTCTGTGAAGACTCCGCTTCTACTCTGCCAGACAATTGCACTGATATTTTTGTAAGGGATTTTTTACTATTTCATTTTTCTTTCATACTTACCCATATCCTTCTGCAGCTTCAGTTGGGCCACAGGAAATGTCCTTGGGAGACAGCAACTTAAAGGAGCTTGTACGATTCTATTAAAGAATAATTATACAAAGTAGCAATACAAGTATATTACTCTTTTATTTTTTGTTTAGTTTGTTGGGTTTTAATTTTTTTCTTCCTAAGGATGACATATGTGAGGAAACATTGACCAGCTCTGCATTTGCAGAGTGTAATAACCTAGTTGATGTTAAAGAGTACATTACGGCCTGCCAAGAAGACTTGTGCCGCTCCGAAGAATCTAAAAATGCCTCATGTATCTGTGACACCTTTGCTGAATACTCCCGGCAGTGTGCTCATGCTGGTGGGCATCCTCTGAACTGGAGAACCTCAAAACTGTGTCGTAAGTATCACAGGAGATAGCCTTAGTTTATGCCCAGTAACTAACAAACAATAAGCTCTGAGACGATGTTGAGGATAAAGGAGAAATTGCCAATCATTCAAGATGATTGCATTTTCCAGAGGATTCTGATGTGCAAGTTTCAGCGTGAAGAATTCAGCCAAAGAGCTAAGGTTTCTAATGTAAACTGAATTAAATACTATCAAAGACTTATATGGATACTCTAATTGAGAGTCAAAGTATTACATAATTAACTGGGACAGTAAAAGAAGCAAATAAAGGAGAAAGAAGGAAGAAAGAGGCAGGCTTGCTAGCTTGTATTCCCGTTTCTCTCCTTTACTCATAGTGGTTACAGCATTTTTCATCTCTGTTAAGTGATTGGGTCTTCACAGGTGTTAAGTACTTATTTTTCTCCTCTTCTTTGGTAGTGAGGAGTCTGCACCAGTGTAATCTTCTCAGAGATTTGCACTAAATTAAACACATACTAGATTATGGGGTGTAGTTGTTGATACTGTCATCAGATCTGCATTTGCTTCAGAACAAAATCCCACAAGGTACTATTTGTCCTTCCAATGCTATCTGGAAAATGTAAATATACTAAAGCTTTAGGAATATAAGTTTTACATTTCAATAGCAAGACAGGTGTTCATGTGAAGGTTGCTTTCAGTAGAAACACAGGCCTTGCTGGCTTAGAGGGGTCATTACCTTCTTGTCCACACAAATCCAGCCACTGAGCCAGTTTGGCCCCAGACAATCATGGAAACCACGTCTCAACTGTAAAATATGAAACTAGGTGACTAAATTAGCAAATTTTGAGATCTGGCAGTCAACCTGCAGTTTAGTGTGGTTTTTACATTTAGCTGTTAAATGAATATAAATATTTTTATACTCAGTGAACCAGAAACACTTTTGACTGAAATAATCTCTCCTCCTTCAAAATTTTAGCCAAGAAGTGTCCTTACAACATGCAGTATGAGGAGTGTGGCTCCCCCTGCGCTGACACATGCACCAATCCTGAACCATCCCAGTTTTGTGAAGAACACTGTATGGACGGTTGTTTCTGCCCACCAGGCAAGTTATTATGCACTCACAAGTCTGATCTCAAGGAACAGCAGCAGCTTACCTGTAGGATTTGGGCAGGTTCCTTGGGTTTTAAATTCCCTTTACTCACAGCTGTAAATGACTAGCATTTGTCATGTCTCAGCTGAGAAAAGAAACCTGAATTAATTGCCAATACATGTACAACATTAAGAAAGCAGGAAAGCAGAACAGTAAACAGTTCAAGGCCAGTACCTCAAGAAGATACTTACTGTACTACAGTAAGTCTATTTTTCAAAGCAGGTAGAGTTTAAGAATATAAAGTTGAATCCTCCATTGTACAAACTGGCATAGTCTTACTGGCCTCAGCGTAGGTATATCCATTCATGATAGCTGCAGATCTAAGATATTTAGGATTTGTAGCAAATAGAAATGGTTTATAGGAAATACCTCTTTAACTGATAAAGTTTTTGTCTTTATTTTGTTAATCTAGGGACTGTATTTGATGACATCAATAATTCTGGCTGCATTCCCCGTCAGCAGTGCTCCTGTGTTTACAATGGCAATGCATATGCCACAGGAACTTCCTTTTCAGGGCAATGTCATTCCTGGTAAACTTTGTAAATTTTCCAACTTACTGCTTCCTCTCACATACTGAGTTTAATGGTTTATTATGTACAATTGCATCATTGGTAATTGATATGCATATTTAACTGAACACTACAATTTCAAGGAAGAACATTCTGTGTTTCATTTAGCCACAGCCTTAACAAGCTTTGGACTCTAACTCAAGGTGATCAAAGCAAAGATTTACCATGTTTAGATTTCTTACCAGTCAATTAAAATGCTTCCTCTTTGTTTATTTTGTTCAAACATGTGGACTTCTCCAAAGGGAATGAAATTGACGTCATTTATGTATTTGCAGATACTTACTTTCTGTGAAGAAAGGAAGGGATGACACACTACAGCCTCTATTTTACAGCTATTAATCCTCTACCTGTATACTACCACATCGCCTTAGAAAACAGAGATACTCTGCATTAAGAATAGACATGGGGTTACATTCTTGTTAGTTTCTGACGTATCTGAATAACAAACCAGAAGAGATTTTAATTTGTTGCTGTGATTTATGTTAGCTCCAAAACCCAAGCAATTAATCATCCAATACCTGTTGCTGGAGAGTTCACCTGTTCAAAGGAGGAAAACAACTAAATAAGCAAAGTGAATGAATTCCAGAGTCATTCCTTTTAAAGCGTTGCATCATGTGTTCACAATGTTTTAGAAAGTCCTAAACCTAGATTTACTGTGTGTCAATCTACAACCTGAAGGAATAAACAGCAGCAAAATAGCAGAACCTAATTTCACCGTAATTCCTTATACTCTGGATTGCTGTTACCCATTTTAGCTAACATGATTCTTTCTCTTCCAGTACCTGTAATGGAGGCCAGTGGCGTTGTGAAAACACATCATGCCCAGGAACATGTTCAGTAGAGGGAGGTTCACACATTTCTACATATGATAAAAAATATTATGATCACCATGGAAACTGCACTTATGTTCTCTCTAAGGTGGGAAGCAGATATCACTAGGTCATAAAGCCTTACACATTTACAGAAAGAAAAGTTCATCTCAGTTAACACTTTTGAAACTTACTGCTTTTGACATAAAGAGGTTTAATTGCCTCTCAGCCAGATGTTTACTAGAACATATGTTGCCATTCAAATGGCAATCATCAGTTAACTATTAGACTCTCATGCAACAGTATATGGTGTTTACCGCGAAATTTCCAGTTCCTTGATGTAGTATTTGTTGAAAAGCACTGCCTTTTTTAAGAATTTACTTCATCTGCATTCCTCAGTGTGATTAATCCAGCTTTCTGAGTTGTAGAATTTTTGCCATGTTACTGTATTGTATACTATTGGGCCAAATGGTACAAGTCTGAAAAATTACACGACTAGTTCTGAAGGAAAAAGAAATTGAATTTATATGACTTACATTTTAATTTAATTTCTGGGAAGTTCAAATACAGAAAATCATTTCAGGTCAAATGATATATTTCGTTTAGGTTTTGAACCTTTTTGAAATAGATACAAAAATAAGTCAAAAGAAATAGAAAAAATAAAAGTTAATTATAATCCAAATATTTAACTAAGGCAATGTACAAGTATTTTTTTTATCTTTTAGGGGCTATTTCTGTTCCTTCTTTCTTTTCCTTTTTCCTCTTTCCTCATCTGCACAATTCAGGGGAAAAAAAACCAAAAGCAGCTATATCTTATTGCTCTCCTGAAAACCGTTTTATCTGAAATTTACATCTAGCATTAATACCACCTACAGAAAGAAAAGACAGCAGAACTGAATCAAACATTATAAGTATGCATGAATAAAAGCTCCAGATCTGTATATCATTAAGAATATGCAAATTTTCACATTGTTCCTAATCATTACAAAAGGCAAAACTGAATCTTAGGCCAAAGAAGGCCAACGATTCAGGAGAAAGTGTACCCTCTTCAGAAACAGGAATATTTTTCAGAGTCGAGGGAAATTTTACAGGGAAAGCTTCTGTAATTAAGCCTTTCGTGAAATAACTGTTGGCATTTTTTTTTCAGCACTGTACAGATGGAACATTTGCCATCCTGGTAGAACTACGCAAATGTGGCCTAACAAAAACTGGGACATGCTTAGAGACAGTGACCCTCAACATGAATCAAGGACAAACTGTAAGAATGCAAAATAAGCATGGAAAATAACTATTGAAAATATGGGAGCAAAGAAGCTAACCCTTAATTCGTCAGGGAACTGAATTTTTCTCTCAAATGGTCAGCGTATATGATAACTACATGTTATTTTTAATCCAGTGGAATTTATTTTTTAATGAAAATCAGATCAGGCATAAATTTGGCTTTCTGGAAGTTCATTAAGAAAGACACTGTAGTCACAAAGCAGAAAACAACTATTTTATCTGCCAATTAGATGGAGAAAAACATAAGCTTTTAAGTTAGAAACTACAACTGTTAAGGGATGTAATTCATCGCAAAGATAAATTTAAAGAGACCAAGATGCTGTAATTCCCTAAGAAGCTGAGAAAGTCTCTTTAGAAATAATTCTTTCATTACAGGAAATGTACAAAGTGGAATGAGGGAGCAGGTGAAGACACAAACAACCTGCCCTTTTAATTTTTTTTTTATTAATATCACTGTAGTCATCACTATTACTACTCTCTGGACTATAGTTATCCTTCACACAATTTCCTCTTGATCCTCTTCCTTACCAGCTCATCGAGGTCAAACCTGATGGTGGTGTGTATATGAACTCGATCTACACCCAGCTGCCTGTTTCATCAGGTATTTCTTTCTCTAACATTCTCTGAGCAATAAGCATGAAACTCCAACGCCACAACTGCTTATTTTCTTAATGGAAGATAAAAGGACTGTGAGTTGTTCAGAACCTGCGTGTTCGTATCTCTCAGTTCTCTTTGGGATATTTCCTGAATGACACAACTGCTTTTGAGGTAGAAGTGGGAAGTTTGATGTCATGAAGAAATGGGAGACAGTAAAGGATAGGCAAGAGTTCAAACAGAAGCAAACAGCATTTACACTCTCCTGATTTCTTCAGTGTAAGGTTTATTTCCTTTTCACTGCCAAAAACTGAACACAGAAAATATCTGCTTACCTCTCCTACATCTTTTTTTTTTTTTTTTTTAATTATTACCCCTGTGTTCATGCTTCCTCAGAAGTTTGATTTTCGCTCTTCTGTCTCAATAAGTAGCAATTCTGTGTGGTATCTCTGACCTCCTGATCTGCTTATTTTCCATTTCCAGCAGAGTAAGGGCTCCAATTTGTGCTGTATAAGCTAAGCAAATTATTCTTTTTAACGCTTAGTGCCATACAGTTTTTTCTTCTTACTCTGAAGGAGTAATCTCCATCTGCTTAATGTTGAGACAGTGAATAAAGTTAACACCTTGGTAGCAACAATCAAATCCTGAACTGTAAATTTTGATTCATATTTCTGATTCATTTTCATAAAGATTGGCTTTATTTCACCTCAGAATTTGCAAAAGTTGTAATAGAAATTCAAGGAAAATAGTATAATGGTGCGCTGTTTCCAGCATTTGACCTCACTCAGAAAGTGATCATTCTGTTCTTCATCTGTAGCTAACGCCAACGTGTTCAGACCTTCATCATTCTTCATCATCATGCAGACAAACTTTGGTGTCCTCCTTGAAATCCAAATTATACCCATGATGCAAGTGTTTGTGCGACTGGATCCTATTTTCAAAGGCCAGACATGTGGTAAGGGAATGAAATACAAGAATACATTGCTTAATGTCTTTTGTCTAGTATGAGCAATACAAACTTTTCACTGCTCTTCAACAGGTCTCTGTGGCAATTTCAATGATCTTGAAACTGATGACTTCAAGGTTATAAGTGGAATAACTGAAGGAACAGCAACAGCATTTGCTGATACATGGATGACTCAGGCTTCATGCCCTAAAGTCCAGCGCAGTTTTGAGAACCCTTGTGCACTCAGCATTGATAATGGTGTGTGTTTCTTAGATTTTTTATTGTTGTTATTTATTACTAAAGAAAACACATATGTTGTAAAGCAAAGATAAGAGAATAAAGACTTACATACTTGGTAAAAACATGGCTCTGAAACCAGAAAAAAATGAATGCACTAGGGATAATTAACGAAGTCAATAAGACTTTTCTTAGTAAGAGTTATAGAAACATAACTGAAGGAAACTGAAGTAACCTTAGCCCAGATGCTGAGTGGAAAAAAACAAACAAACAAACAAACAAAGGATAAGAAAAGGAGAGATTTGATGTGATTTCAGAACTGGCTTCACAGCCCAGGGCAGAGTGCTTTTTTGACTAATGAAATACAAAGAGTATTTGTATTGTTTGTTTTATTCACAGAAAAATATGCTCAGCACTGGTGTGGACTACTAACTGACAAGAAAGGACCTTTTGCTGATTGTCACTATGCAGTGAATCCCTCTGATTATCACATGGTACTTTGCTAGACTGTTTTTCCCCTTAGAAAAAATAGAAATAGGATCATTACAACTAGCTACCAGAAAAGGACTGTTCCATATATCTCTCTCATCTTATGCAATGCCTGTGTTTTCATTTCTGTACAGCAGCACTTCCTTCTTTCAACATGTGTTTCTGTTTCTGTCGTACCATTACCTTATTTCAGTTGTCAGTCTTGCCTTCAAGATCCTGACTTGCTTGCAAATGAAAAGGCAGCTATTTGCTCCTGGACGGATACACACATGCAGTAACAAGTGTATACAAAGGCATGTCAAATGCTTGTTTGAATATCAGTGAATTGTTGTCTCATCAGCCTCATCTCACTAATAATTAGTTGGCACAGAAAGCCCATTAGCTAATTTTCAATATTCTGCTATCAGTGTGTTGCCAATCTTTCTTCTCACTATGAATCACCCAGATATGGACACTGATGAAATGATGTTTCTCAACTGCATACCATGAACAGAGCTTTGTATGCTATTCTGCAGCATATTCATAAATACGGTTCAGAGGGACGTGAAGCTCCTAAATGTGTAACACTTTAAGACCACTCTCTCCCAGTAATAACGGCAGACATCAACTGAATTTCCATTGCCTTCATTCTTTCTGGCCAGGCAACTGTAGACAAACACTGGAAAAGTTTGCTAAAAAATATTGCTAAAGCTATATTAGTGTTGTTTATGAGTGAGCATATCTGAGGAAGGATTAGTGCGTAAGACCAAGAAGATAATGCTTTTTTTTTAGACTGACAGTTTTACCAGTGCTGAGACTTTATTTTTCTCTGCATTTTTAGAACTGCATGTATGACACATGTAACTGTAAAAATAGTGAGGACTGTCTGTGTGCAGCCCTGTCTTCCTATGTGAGAGCTTGTGCTGCAAAAGGAATACAGCTGGATGGATGGAGGACCGATGTTTGCTGTAAGTACTCTTAAGCATCCCCTCTCCTATGAATACACATCAATAAAAACTGCTGGTCAGGGATTATTTTATACTGATTTCTAGACAAACATAGTAAGTGTTGAGGAAGGGATTTTGTTATGTGAACTTCTGGAAGTAATTCTCTGCTGTTCCCTTAGAATCAATCCATTGCTAGCAAGAGTGAATACAAACAGACAGAAAACGTAGGCTGCCTAGGAAAGAGACTGCTGTTATAGAAGTGTTTCTATGCAAATTTGAATTTCATTACAGCTTCATGTATGATAAGTTACTGTAGAGTAATGTGACATATTAGAATAACAGTACTAGTAATTCTAACCAGAACACTTGCAAATGAAAGGTTTCCGAAGCTGCATGCTGGCTTCCACCCCCAGTAGGTCTGTTTTCGGTATATGAGGAGACATTCAGGAAGATATCTTATTTCATACTTAAAAAGGTTTAGAAATTTTGCCAGCACCAAATGAAGGTTTATTTCTGAAATCTCATTCAAGAAAATATTTTCTTCTTTGCAAACATCACGTAATCCACATGTACAGTAGGTTTTTCAGATCTAACTGTGGAAGTATTCAGAAATACATGAAAGATACAACATAGGCAGAGTTATGCAGTATTGTGTACATGTTATTTCTACTGCCTATGGTTTCTCTTTTCCCCATCAGAAACTACCATCTGGAATTAACAAACCTATTTTATTTTCCTCTCTCAAGCAAAATACACCTCATGTCCCAAATCCCTAAGCTATAGCTATAACATCTCTTCCTGTCAACCCACTTGTCGATCTCTGAGCGAGCGTGATGTCACATGCAACATTAAGTTTGTCCCAGTTGATGGCTGCACCTGCGTAAATGGAACTTACATGGATGAAAGTGGCAGATGTGTGCCTGCTACTGAATGCCCCTGCTACTACAGAGGATCTCCCATATCATCTGGAGAAACTGTCCAAGAAAATGGGCTTGTATGGTGAGTGAATCTGTTGCAAAACACTCAAGCAAAACTGTATGTATTTTCTCATTAGAATCTGCTACATTTAAATTGGACTCAGCCTGCTTTGCCTGAATTTCAATACAATGATGTCTCATTTTTTTCAACTTTTAAGAAGGTGCGTATTTCCCTGAGCTTGAAGGAGAATATGCTGTACCACTGAAACACACATAAGGCAATGGGGCCAGCTGGGATCAATCCAAGTGTATTGAGGGAGCTGGTGGAAGTATTCACCATTTTCAAGCATTTTTCAGCAGTCCTGACTAACAGGCGAGGTCCCAGTTGACTGGAGGTTAGCAAATGTGGTGCTCATCTACAAAAAGGACCAGAAGAAGGACCTGGGGAACTGCAGGCCTGTCAGTCTGACCACAGTGACAGGGAAGGTTATAGAGCAGATCATCATGACTGCCATCACTCAGGTGATCAGGTGCAGTCAACACGGCTTTATGAAAGGCAGATCCTGCTTGACAGACCTGATCTCCTTCTGTGGCAAGGTGACCCACTTGGGTCAGGGAAAGGCTGTGCATGTTGTTTACCAAGACTTTAGTAAAGCCTTTGACACTGCTTCCCACAGCATTCCCCTGGAGAAAATGACTGCTCATGGCTTGGACAGAGGCACTCCTTGCTGGTGAAAAACTGGCTGGATGGCCAGGCCCAAAGAGTGGTGGAGAATTGAGTTAAATCCAGTTGGCCCTGGCCACAAGCAGTGTTTCCCAAGGCTCAGTGTTGGATATCACATTAAAGCAGCATTAGTAGTGGTATTAAGGGAAATTCTTTCCTTTGGAAATTCTGAAAATTGACAAGAGAGAAGTAGCTCTCAGTCTCAATGCATGATTTAAGAGATTGCTTTTTTTTGTTTTTTTTTTTTCTCTCTTGCAGCACTTGCATCCAGGGAAGACTGGATTGCACTGGAGAACCCAATCCAGATCGAGGTGAAAAAAAATAAAAATATTCCACTTCTCTGTGACAGGTTCTGGACAGAAATAGTTAATATAATTGATTGAAATGATAAAATATTAATGGAGTTTTAATAATATTTTTGATTTAGTTACAGTGCAACAGTTATCATAAAAGGCAAGAGTGAACCTAAATTAATGATAGGATTTCTTTTTCATAATGATTTTTTTCTAAAATACTGTGGGTTTTCTCTGGCAATTCAGTGCTCTGAAATGAATCTATTTAATACAGACAGCAATCCTTACTAACTGAAATATGTAATCCCAAAGGATGTCTAGATGGTTTTAATGGCTAGAGATGAGCCATTTCTGATTGCTCTCATTTCTTTCCTTTCTTTAGTCTGTGAATCTCCCATGGTCTACTTAGACTGTAGAAACATCACTGAAGGAACAACTGGAACAGAATGTCAAAAAAGTTGTCAGACTCTGGATATGCAGTGTGTAAGTATTTCATGGCTGGATGAAATTGTGCTTCCAGGTTTTGTTTGTGCTTTTGGTGGTAAAGTAACTGATCTATCTGATCCACTCCAAATCTACAACATAGATATTGTTCTTGTAGCAAAAGCCTGAAACCATGTTATAAACCATTAATAATGGGACCCTTAGACAAAAATATAATAAGGTAACATCCAATTTAATTCATAAAATTGGTGTCTACCTTTCTTCAGCTACTGCAGGTAACAGTAATTAGTAGTGAAAATATCTAGGACACATATTTTACTTCTTTAGGAGAAAATTACTGGCTATGAACTGGGTAGGAGAAATAATTCTTTCTTATAATGCAATTGGGAACTTCTTTCACACATAATTATAATATTCCATCTAAATGCATGCCACATACCATTTTGTGAGTAAGTACCATGAGAGATAAATAAATTTTGATGTAAACCAATCAAACCTAAAAAATATTATGTATTTTCTTTTTAAAGCTCCATTGAGTCACCAAAGTGCAAGGCTGCTTCAGCTAATATAGAGCAAGACTTACAATTCAATGTATCTTAAATTTCACAGACTGCAGCAGAGTAATCAGGATTGGCATACACAAAACATCTTTAATAGATATATATTGTATTAAATCAATGGCTAATAAATTCTGGTTTGTTCCATTGTCCTATAAGTACTTTGTAGTCCTCTCTCATTTAAGATGGGCAGCAATAAGACCATATAAAGACATTTTATTTTAATGTTTTTCTATTGTGAATATTTCATTCTGAAATTTTATCTTCTCTTGACTTGTCTAGTATAGCACGCATTGTATATCTGGCTGCGTGTGCCCAGCTGGGCTTGTGTTACATGGGAATGGTGACTGTATTGCTGAAGAGGAATGTCCGTGTATTCACAATGAAGCCATGTATCAGCCTGGGGAAAAGATCAGCGTTGACTGTAACACCTGGTAAGTATTTCCTCAGAAGTATCATTCCTGGTTCCATCATTTGTCTTTCCAAAGAACTTACATAGTAGAGCAGTAAAGAAATATTTGGATTACACGTCACCAACTGATAGATCTCTTAGTTGTGAATTAAACAGTATGAGACAGTTTCCTTCTGATGTAGACAGATAGCCAAAGCGCAGAATGGGAAGAAGTCTTTGGGACTACAGTGTTCATTTTGTACTACCCTGTTTTGCAGTTAATGCATTCAGAGTTGCACAACAGAACTTTGCTTTAATACTTCACATTAAAAAACTTAAAAAATCATTTTCACTGCAGAATCAGTACAACATTACCAGGGATGAATTTGCCAAACAAATACTGATTTGCTGGATGTGTCTACACAAAACAGTGAGTTGTTTTATTATTAAAATGTTTTATTCTCATTCCTAGTGTATGCAAGAATAGGAAGTGGGAATGCACCAAAGATCAATGTCTGGGCACTTGTACTGTTTACGGAGATGGTCATTATAATACCTTTGATGGCAAAAGGTTCAACTTCAATGGAAACTGTGAATACACGCTAGTTCAGGTACTGATAATTAGCAATAGTAAATGAGACCTTACCTTGATTGTGTCTACAAAAATAATGTATTTTAAAATTTTATTCTCCACCCAGGACCACTGTGGAATGAGTGGCACAGCCAATGGAACCTTTCGGGTTATTACTGAAAATATTCCCTGTGGCAACAGTGGGACAACTTGCTCAAAATCTATCAAAGTTTTCTTAGAGGTAAGAAGATCAACTTTGTTCTGTAACTGTTTAGGGCTCGAGAAGCCTAGATATCCATTGCATCAAGGAAGTTGGAAAATTAAGCTTAAATCAGATTGAAGTGAAATATTTGGTAGAGCTTCCCAGCTTTCTATCTTTTCCTTTTTCCACACTATTTTTTTATATCACCCTTGGGGAAACTACAGATTTACAGGAAAATAGTCTTTAGCAGAAATTAGCCTATCATGTCATAATTGTTTTATTCTGTGCAATTTAGATCCTCCATGACTGCCAAAATTTTCTTTTTTGACCTATACCATTTAAAATACCTTTTTAGCACAGTTCCTGGAACCTAAGATTTGAACTATGTAGTTTTATTGCATTTGGATTATTTGTTTTCATTATATAAAATATGCATAGTAATCTTAAAAAGAGAAAAATGTATTTAAGAGCACAGCTGCAGCTACTGAGTTAATTTCTAATCTCCTTTTCCTCCTGTTTCAGAGCTATGAACTGATACTTGGTGAGGAGCATGTCAGTGTCATAAAGAGAGGACAAAATAATGAGGTGCCATACACAGTCCGCTATATGGGTATGTACTTGGTAATTGAGACCAGAAGTGGACTGATACTCATGTGGGACAAGAAAACCAGCATCTTCATCAAGCTCAGCCCTGATTTTAAGGTGCGGAACTAGCAGTTCAATGGCAATTTAGAGTCCAGATTTAGACTGTGCGTGAATTTTCTTGAGACCCTGCCAAGATCCTAAACAGGTGATGTCTCTAGCATTCCTAGGACATCCCATGTTGTTTTCCATTCCTCTGGTGCCTCAGGAAGCCATGACATCATCCTGCTTCTCTTCTGAGCTCCAAAGGCAGCTTTCAGTGACTACTTGGCCTGACAGAACTTGAACTGGCAAACTGCTTTCTGGGACTTCATTAAAATTACCCACTGAACCTTGGTACAGGTTATCAGACCTTACTAAAATTACATAGCTGCATGTGTCAAAACAAATTGAGTAGTCGTGATCTTGAAAGTAATCCATTGTTGCCAGTTCTCATTGACACACAAATCATATTATCATACTTTAAAAACAAGGAAGTGAAATATTAGGAGTGAAAGCCTCTTGTAAAATGCTGCCATGTGTTTTGCAAGCATGATTTACACAGGTGATAAGGAAAATGTATTTCATTTCTCATGTCCCTTCTTCTAGCTTAATATATATAAGTACTAAAAAGTGTGGTAGATGAGTAATTTGCTATCTTACTGTATACAGCAGTAACTTTTCAGAATCATAAAATCATAGAATCAACTAGATTGGAAAAGAACTTAAGATCATCAAGTCCAACTGTTCCCCCAGTACTGCCAAGTCCACCAATAAACCATGTCACTGAGGACCTCATCTACATGGTTTCTGAACACTTCCAGGGATGGTGATTCCACCACTTCCCTGGGCAGCCTGTGCCAATACCTGATAACCCTTTTGGTGAAGGATTTTTCCTAATATCCAATCTAAACCTCCACTGGTGCAGCTTGGGGCCATATTCTCTTGAATTAAGTGTTATTTAGAACTAGATATACAAATTAATTTCAGTATCATAGGTTCTTTTGCTGCCTCACCCACTGGCATTTTATACAAATAGTAGTAATATGGGAAGTCTGCACCTTAGATTTGTTGAGAGAGCATAGCATCTACTGCAGCCTGTCAGTTTTACAGATCCATAAATTTAGAATGAGGGATGTTTCTGGACGTTCAAGGAAAATGTAATTCTTTTTTATATCTGTGACCAGTTGCAATTCTTTTTATACCTGTGACCAGTAAAGACTCAATGAGCAGACAATCTGGCAGGACTGGTAGTGTTTATGCATTTTCTGAGGCTGTTTTTTATATGTACATCTACTGTATAAAACAAGGCTTAAATTGAGAACTTAGTTAACTGAACCCTTGTTTCATCATTAAAGACACAACTCAAAAGACTGAAAGTTAGAACGACAAGGATGGTTTTATTGTGCAGATTTAAAAGTCAAAAGCAGTATCCTTCTAGCAGTAGTCGTTACATTCTATTGCTGAGGGAACAAAGAATTAAGGTGTTCAGGAATGTTAGAATGGAATTTCAAGTACTTTTTCAGCCTCAGATGTTGTTTCAAGGTTTCTCTCATCCATTATTATTCTGTTTACTTCTTTTTGCAGGGCCAGATCTGTGGCCTCTGTGGAAATTATGATGGCAGCGGCATCAATGACTTTACTACAAGGAGTCAGTCTGTGGTAGAGAATGTCCTAGAGTTTGGAAACAGCTGGAAAGTATCCTCTACATGTCCTGATGCTTCCAGCATAAAGGACCCCTGTTCTACCAACCCTTATCGAAAATCCTGGTCAGAGAAACAGTGCAGCATCATCAACAGCAATGTCTTTGCTGCCTGTCACTCTCAGGTATTACCAGGGCAAAAGTTCACTTCTAGTGTGAAGACTAGGTCTATGTATTATTGAAGCTGCTATCCTCATACATTTTCACATGCATGCCTAATTTGCTAGTAATTCACTGGTATGTTTCACTTTGAATTGTGTCAGGAAAACTTCAATATGAATCCACTCATGGGACAGATTTATAGTCCCTACCTGTAAGAAATAAATGGATATCTAGTTCAAAGGAAATACTGACATATTACAGAAGAATGGCAGCTTAATAATTACTATTTTCTTGTAGTGTGGCAGAAATAAAAAAATTCATATACCATGTACAGAACACAAGCTCAACAAAATAATAATATAGTAATGAAGTATCAGCATAGTCTTTATCTGACACAAGTACATACCAAACAATGCAGGGAAACTGTGCTCTTCCTATTTAGTTCTTTCCACTGGCAGAAACATTAATTTTCAAGTACAGTTGTGTATTGCTTGCAAACATGGATCTAATCTTCTACTAGGACACAAGTCTGGATGTCGAAAAATCTGTCAGTACATGGTTCAGATGTATAATCTGGCAACACCTCTGATGTTTAACAGTGTATATAAAGCAAAAGAAATTACTGACATAAGCCTTTCTTCTGAGATACTACAGTTTTAAGAAAATTACCTTAGCAAAGCTCAGAAAGAATTTAGATGGTAGGATATATAGTAATACATTTCTTTTTATTAACAGGTTGAACCAGCAAAATATTACCAAGCATGTGTGACAGATGCTTGTGCATGTGACACTGGAGGAGACTGTGACTGCTTTTGTACAGCAGTAGCTGCCTATGCTCAAGCATGTAGTGAAGTTGGTGTCTGCATAGCCTGGAGAACCCCATCAATCTGTCGTGAGTTTTATGTCACAAATACTTCTTCTGCAAGTGGAGTTAAATTCATAGTGCCTTGCTTAACATACAATCTGCGTATCTGGCGTATGTGCATTATAATCTCACTGTGTAGACTTTTCACACTAAGCTGTTCTGACGGTGACAAAATTTCACCTACTCATTCCCAGTTTTCAGGACTGTTCAAGCAGCACTGCAGTAATATGATGAACTGGCATGAGTCAAAAAAAGCTCTTTTTTTTTCTTTTTTTTTTCTTTTTCTGAGTATGTCCAAATTCTGTTTCTCCTTAGCACTGTTCTGTGATTACTACAATCAACAAGGGGAATGTGAATGGCACTATAAGCCTTGTGGAGCCTCTTGTATGAAGACCTGTAGGAATCCAAGTGGAAAATGCCTCCATAACTTGTCAGGTTTAGAAGGTAAAAAAAGCTGCAAGTACCTTATTTTGTTACAGTTCTAACGTTTTCTATGGAGCGTATTTCAACATCAGCTACCACTCCGCTCTCTTCAACATCATTGCATTCACACAAATGGAGGCAAAGTATGGAAAGTGAAGTTAAAAACATCTGTAAGACCAACTACTTGTGGGTGGGTTCTGCTGATGTTAGTACTCTGCATTACTTCCCAGAATTATTGGAAAAAAATAAGTAGCAAAATTATGACTATTAAAAACAAGACCTGCAAACATATTCTGCACAAATAAAAATTTTGCTCACTGTAGCTCATTCTTGCCTATCTCCTATATGTCCTTTTCCTTCCTTCAGGCTGCTACCCTAACTGCCCACCAGACAAGCCATATTTTCATGAGGACCAGATGAAGTGCGTTAGTCTCTGTGACTGTTATGATAATGAAGATGGAAAGATATACATACGGGATGAATGCCGTGTATGGTAAGAATCAACATACCAACCTAATCATGTACAAGGAAAAATAATCAAAACAGCAGTGGGAAATTGCATGCTCCTGTTACAGGACAGGACTAGTTTACACTGCCTGTGTAAACATAATGTCTTACTATATAATGCCAGTTTTCTTACTACATTAGTAGGAAGAATTTCTTATGTGATTTTTATGTTCAGTTGAATTTGTTCCTGGTTATGCTGTAAATCCTTCACATAAAGATACTGTCCTTTACGACGAAGCTTTCTCTATTTCCAATTCCTATGGCAGGAAAAATATTGTTCCAGGAGTATAAATATATAATAGGGACCTACTTCCAAGGATTTTATTATATTCTTATGCCATTTGTAATATGTAGCTCTTTCCCTTTTTAACCTCCCTTTTAGTACAAAAATATTGCAAGTACAAAGAAAGGACATGACTTCCTCCTGTAGCTTTGCATAATACATAGCTTCACTTCTATTCATAAGTTTGGGTTACTATAAATAAAGATTTTAAAAAATTATAGGAAAAGAAAAAACCCCAACATAAACTGGACATTCAAGGAATAAACACAAATAAAGTGTCCTGTATTCTGATGCAAGTATCTGGCAGAAAAAGATGATTAATAAAATTATCTCATAATAAAAAAATACGGAGATTTATATTTTTTTCAGTGTTATTTTTTTAAATGTCATTTCAGTGAATGCACATCAGATGGTTTAGAGTGCAAGTTTGATGATAAAGGTAAGACAGCTAAGAACTACTAAGAAAATAAAATACTGGATGTAATCTTTTCATAGATGCCTGAGAGTAAATTTCCTTTGAATTACAGCATGCCACTGCATTTATGAAGGACACAACTATAAATATGGTGAAGTCATCTACAACACCACAGATGGAACTGGATGGTGTTTCACTGCAACATGTGACGTCAATGGAACAATTAGCAGAAATATCTCTAAATGTGGCATTTTTACAACAACCCCATTTTCTTCTATTACAACTCAGCCCGAAACTACTGCTTCAGGTATGCATGAATACTCTTTAAAATAACTGAAAAAAATCTCTGGAAGGGATGGAAAATTGCTAAAATGGAGGGCCTTTTCATTAGTTAAGGACATAAAATTTTACTTTGTTTACTCCCAATGAAACCACCAATTCTTTTGGCAGGTTCAATTGCTAAAGATGACCATAATAGAGGATGTAGAAATGAGTACAGCAGTTCTTACAAACCCAGTCTGCACTGTTTCACCATGTTTTTTCCCAGGGAAAAAAAATAATAGATCTTACTAATCATTGCACCTTGAAGAACCTCCTTGTTTCCTTGCATACAAAAAAAAAGCAGTTCTAGACAGACTTTAGAAAACGTAAGAGACTGCCATTTTTTAAATAACATTTTTTAAATAACATTAGGGCAAACTGAAGATAAGACATCTAGCTTGAGACCATGCTCAAACTACTTAAAACAATTCTTTGGAACCTTTCCCAATTGTATATAAGAACTAAATCAATAGTTCCCTTCTAGTCCTGCAGTACACTTCTATATTATTCCTGCAGTTAACTTATTACAGTGACCATGTAATTCTGAGAAATTGTGAGAAGTATTTCCACAAAATTATACAATATGTCAGCAAGAACTAAACATTGAACTTTAAGACTACTATTAAGTAACATCTGTATGAAGAAAGAATATTTCCACATTGTTATCTTTATAACGCTAAGAATATGAAAAGAAATAAGCACAAAAGACTAATTAGATTATATATTTCCTATATATTATGTTTGTGGATTGCATATTATAATGTATTATATATAAAATACATATGTTAAATATATATCTTATATTTATAAATATATTACAGGTTATATTAACATAAGTAGAAAACTCATTAACCCGTAAAAATATTTCAAAGCCTCTGTGCTTATGCAGTTAAGTGTAAATAAGTACAGAGGTAATACCAAGGAGAATAAAACTTCCCCTTATTTAAACCTATATATTGCCATTCCACATTAGCTATATTTCTATGCAGCATTTAATAAATGTCATATAACTTATCACTAGAAAAATAATACAAAAATCAGATCAAAACATACCTTAGAAATTAAATTCAAAACTGTCAAAGCAATATCATTAGAATTAAAATAGTAAATTAACATATACAATATTAGATCCAACATTAAAAATATGAAAGATGAGCCCTGGCAGTGGCTTTAATAAAAATAGATGAGACTTATATTTCCTCAATTTCATTACAGAAATGACAACTGCAGCACCAGTGACAACTGTATGTGTGAAGAATATATGTTCATGGTCAGAATGGTATGACTGCACACAGCCTGAAAATAAAGAGGATAGTGGAGATTATGAAACATTTGAAAATCTCAAAGAAAAAGGATACAGTGTGTGTAAAAACCCAAATGGTGTTCAATGCAGAGCCAAAGAACACCCAAATATAGAAATAAACAATCTTAACCAAACACTTAAATGTAGTCTCAGTACAGGATTAATATGCAATAACAAAGACCAGCAATCTAAGCACTGCTATAATTATGAAATCAGAATATTATGCTGCAGTTACGTACCATGTTCAGAATTACGAACTACAACAGCAAGAACCACAGAATTCACAGCTACTGCTGTAAAATCAACACCATTCACAATACAAACAAAGACACAACAAACAACAAAATATGGAGTAACAGAAGTGCAAACAAGTGAAGTAACTACATCACCGACAGAGAGAGAAAGCACAATAAGGACTGTAACTACAATTACAGCAAAACCACAACAAATATCAACAACAGGTTACCAGACAACATCAATTAAACAAGAAACATCAACGCTAGAAACCCAGGTTCCAACATCACACAGTCCAGCCACAAGCCTCAACCCACCAGGAATAACAACCACCACTGGCACCACAGGTCTTCCCACTACCACTGTAAGGTCAACACAAGGAACAACCATAATCACCACCACCAGCATGGCTAGCACCACCAGGACCTCTCCACCTCCAAAAGAAGGAACCACCATCGTCACACCCACTACAACATCACACACCTCAGCCAGAAGCACAAAAAGCACCTCAAGGACAACCACAGGAAGCACCACAACGTCTAAATCCATCTCTACTCCACCACAAACATCCACTCCACCAACACACTCTCCAACACCACACAGTACTGCCACCAGCCTCAGCCCATCAGCAACGACAACCACCACTGGCACCACCATTGTCCCCAGTACCACTGCACCGCCAACAGAAGGCACAAGCATCATCACCAACACGGCCAGCACCACCAGGACCTCTCCACCTCCAACAGAAGGAACCACCATCGTCACACCCACTCCAACATCACACACCTCAGCCAGTAGCACAATCAACACTTCCAGGACCACCACAGGAAGCACCACAAATTCCATATCCACCTCTGGCCCTGGTCAAACATCCACTTCTACAAGCCAGGCTCCAACATCACACGGTACTGCCACCAGCCTCAACATATCAACAATGACAACCACCACCGGCACAACTGTTGTCCCCATTAGCACTGCACTGCCAACAGAAAGCATGAGCATCAGCACTACCACCAGCACGGCCAGCACCACCAGGACCTCTCCACTGACAACGGAAGGAACAAGCACCAGCACACCCACTCTAACACCAACCACCTCAGCTACAACCACCACTCTCAGCACCTCCAGGACATCTACCACCTGCCAGCCACAATGTGTCTGGACGCAGTGGTTTGACGTGGATACCCCCAGCCCAGGGAGTGAAAATGGAGACAGAGAGACATTTGAAAGCATCCGAGCCGCTGGGTACACACTGTGTGACAAGCCTCAAGACATCAAGTGCCGTGCTAAAGATTACCCTTCTAGGAGTTGGGACAAGTTGGGACAGGTCTTTGAGTGCAGCATCGAATTTGGCCTTGTGTGCAAAAATGAGGATCAGATAACAAAGTACCCCCTGTGCTTTGACTATGAGATTCAGGTGCTGTGTTGTGACACTAAAACCTGCACGGGCACACCAACAACTACAGGCACTACTGCAGGATCGTCCACCGCAGCCTCTCCAAGACAAACCTCCACTCCGCCAACACAGTCTCCAACAGTACACAGTACTGCCACCAGCCTCAGCCCATCAGCAATGACAACCACCACTGGCACCACCATTGTCCCCAGTACCACTGTACCGCCAACAGAAAACACGAGCACCATCACTACCACCAGCAGTGCCAGCACCACCAGGACCTCTCCACCTCCAACAGAAGGAACCACCATCGTCAAACCCACTCCAACATCACACACCTCAGCGAGCAGCACAATCAGTACTTCCAGGACCACCACAGGAAACACCACAACCTCCATATCCACCTCTACTCCAATTCAAACATCCACTTCTCCATCCCAGACTCCAAAATCAGATAGTAACGGCACAAGTCTCAACCCATCAAAAACGACAACTACCACTGGCACTACCGTAGTCCGCAGTAGCACTGCACTGCCAACAGGAGGCACAACCACCATCACTACCACCAGCACAGCCAGCACCACCAGGACCTCTCCACCTCCAACAGAAGGAACCACCATCGTCACACCCACTCCAACATCACACACCTCAGCCAGTAGTACAATCAGTACTTCCAGGACCACCACAGGAGGCACCACAAATTCCATATCCACCTCTGCTCCAGTTCAAACATCCACTTCTATAACTCAGGTTACAACATCACACAGTACTTCCACCAGCCTCAAACCATCAACAATGACAACTACCACTGGCACCACCGTTGTCATCAGTAGCACTGCACTGCCAACAGAGAGCACGAGCATCAGCACTACCACCAGCACGGCCAGCACCACCAGGACCTCTCCACTGACAACGGAAGGAACAAGCACCAGCACACCCACTCTAACACCGACCACCTCAGCTACAAGCACCACTCTCAGCACCTCCAGGACATCTACCACCTGCCAGCCACAATGTGTCTGGACGCAGTGGTTTGACGTGGATACCCCCAGCCCAGGGAGTGAAAATGGAGACAGAGAGACATTTGAAAGCATCCGAGCCGCTGGGTACACACTGTGTGACAAGCCTCAAGACATCAAGTGCCGTGCTAAAGATTACCCTTCTAGGAGTTGGGACAAGTTGGGACAGGTCTTTGAGTGCAGCATCGAATTTGGCCTTGTGTGCAAAAATGAGGATCAGATAACAAAGTACCCCCTGTGCTTTGACTATGAGATTCAGGTGCTGTGTTGCGACACTAAAACCTGCACGGGCACACCAACAACTACAGGCACTACTGCAGGATCGTCCACCGCAGCCTCTCCAAGACAAACCTCCACTCCGCCAACACAGTCTCCAACAGTACACAGTACTGCCACCAGCCTCAGCCCATCAGCAATGACAACCACCACTAGCACCACCATTGGCCGCAGTACCACTGTACCGCCAACAGAAAACACGAGCACCATCACTACCACCAGCAGTGCCAGCACCACCAGGACCTCTCCACCTCCAACAGAAGGAACCACCATCGTCAAACCCACTCCAACATCACACACCTCAGCCAGTAGCACAATCCTCACATCCAGGGCCACCACAGGAAGCACTACAATGTCCACAGCCACCTCTACTCCAGCTCAAACATCCACTCCGCCAACACAGTCTCCAATAGCACAAAGTACTGCCACAAGCCTCAGCCCATCAACAATGACAACCACCACTGGCACCACCATTCTCCCAAGTACCACTGCAACGCCTACAGAAGGCATTAGCACCATCACTACCACCAGCACGGCCAGCACCACCAGGACCTCTCCACCTCCAACAGAAGGAACCACCATCGTCACACCCACTCCAACATCACACACCTCAGCCAGTAGTACAATCAGTACTTCCAGGACCACCACAGGAGGCACCACAAATTCCATATCCACCTCTGCTCCAGTTCAAACATCCATTTCTATAACTCAGGTTACAACATCACTCAGTACTGCCACCAGCCTCAAACCATCAGGAATGACAACCACCACTGGCACCACCATTGTCCCCAGTACCACTGTACCGCCAACAGAAAACACGAGCACCATCACTACCACCAGCACGGCCAGCACCACCAGGACCTCTCCACCTCCAACAGAAGGAACCACCATCGTCAAACCCACTCCAACATCACACGCCTCAGCCAGTAGCACAATCCTCACATCCAGGGCCACCACAGGAAGCACTACAATGTCCACAGCCACCTCTACTCCAGCTCAAACATCCACTCCGCCAACACAGTCTCCAATAGCACAAAGTACTGCCACAAGCCTCAGCCCATCAACAATGACAACCACCACTGGCACCACCATTCTCCCAAGTACCACTGCAACGCCTACAGAAGGCATTAGCACCATCACTACCACCAGCACGGCCAGCACCACAAGGACCTCTCCACCTCCAACAGAAGGAACCACCATCATCACACCCACTCCAACATCACACACCTCAGCCAGTAGTACAATCAGTACTTCCAGGACCACCACAGGAGGCACCACAAATTCCATATCCACCTCTGCTCCAGTTCAAACATCCACTTCTATAACTCAGGTTACAACATCACACAGTACTGCCACCAGCCTCAAACCATCAACAATGACAACTACCACTGGCACCACCGTTGTCCCCAGTAGCACTGCACTGCCAACAGAAAGCACCAGCATCAGCACTACCACCAGCACGGCCAGCACCACCAGGACCTCTCCACTGACAACGGAAGGAACAAGCACCAGCACACCCACTCTAACACCGACCACCTCAGCTACAACCACCACTCTCAGCACCTCCAGGACATCTACCACCTGCCAGCCACAATGTGTCTGGACGCAGTGGTTTGACGTGGATACCCCCAGCCCAGGGAGTGAAAATGGAGACAGAGAGACATTTGAAAGCATCCGAGCCGCTGGGTACACACTGTGTGACAAGCCTCAAGACATCAAGTGCCGTGCTAAAGATTACCCTTCTAGGAGTTGGGACAAGTTGGGACAGGTTTTGAGTGCAGCATCGAATTTGGCCTTGTGTGCAAAAATGAGGATCAGATAACAAAGTACCCCCTGTCTTTGACTATGAGATTCAGGTGCTGTGTTGCGACACTAAAACCTGCACGGGCACACCAACAACTACAGGCACTACTGCAGGATCGTCCACCGCAGCCTCTCCAAGCAAACCTCCACTCCGCCAACACAGTCTCCAACAGTACACAGTACTGCCACCAGCCTCAGCCCATCAGCAATGACAACCACCACTGGCACCACCATTGTCCCCAGTACCACTGTACCGCCAACAGAAAACACGAGCACCATCACTACCACCAGCAGTGCCAGCACCACCAGGACCTCTCCACCTCCAACAGAAGGAACCACCATCGTCACACCCACTCCAACATCACACACCTCAGCCAGTAGCACAATCCTCACATCCAGGGCCACCACAGGAAGCACTACAATGTCCACAGCCACCTCTACTCCAGCTCAAACATCCACTCCGCCAACACAGTCTCCAATAGCACACAGTACTGCCACAAGCCTCAGCCCATCAACAATGACAACCACCACTGGCACCACCATTCTCCCAAGTACCACTGCAACGCCTACAGAAGGCATTAGCACCATCACTACCACCAGCACGGCCAGCACCACAAGGACCTCTCCACCTCCAACAGAAGGAACCACCATCATCACACCCACTCCAACATCACACACCTCAGCCAGTAGTACAATAGTACTTCCAGACCACCACAGGAGGCACCACAAATTCCATATCCACCTCTCTCCAGTTCAAACATCCACTTCTATAACTCAGGTTACAACATCACACAGTACTGCCACCAGCCTCAAACCATCAACAATGACAACTACCACTGGCACCACCGTTGTCCCCAGTAGCACTGCACTGCCAACAGAAAGCACCAGCATCAGCACTACCACCAGCACGGCCAGCACCACCAGGACCTCTCCACTGACAACGGAAGGAACAAGCACCAGCACACCCACTCTAACACCGACCACCTCAGCTACAACCACCACTCTCAGCACCTCCAGGACATCTACCACCTGCCAGCCACAATGTGTCTGGACGCAGTGGTTTGACGTGGATACCCCCAGCCCAGGGAGTGAAAATGGAGACAGAGAGACATTTGAAAGCATCCGAGCCGCTGGGTACACACTGTGTGACAAGCCTCAAGACATCAAGTGCCGTGCTAAAGATTACCCTTCTAGGAGTTGGGACAAGTTGGGACAGGTCTTTGAGTGCAGCATCGAATTTGGCCTTGTGTGCAAAAATGAGGATCAGATAACAAAGTACCCCCTGTGCTTTGACTATGAGATTCAGGTGCTGTGTTGCGACACTAAAACCTGCACGGGCACACCAACAACTACAGGCACTACTGCAGGATCATCCACCGCAGCCTCTCCAAGACAAACCTCCACTCCGCCAACACAGTCTCCAACAGTACACAGTACTGCCACCAGCCTCAGCCCATCAGCAATGACAACCACCACTGGCACCACCATTGTCCCCAGTACCACTGTACCGCCAACAGAAAACACGAGCACCATCACTACCACCAGCAGTGCCAGCACCACCAGGACCTCTCCACCTCCAACAGAAGGAACCACCATCGTCACACCCACTCCAACATCACACACGTCAGCCAGTAGCACAATCCTCACATCCAGGGCCACCACAGGAAGCACTACAATGTCCACAGCCACCTCTACTCCAGCTCAAACATCCACTCCGCCAACACAGTCTCCAAAAGCACAAAGTACTGCCACAAGCCTCAGCCCATCAACAATGACAACCACCACTGGCACCACCATTGTCACCAGTACCACTGTACCGCCAACAGAAAACACGAGCACCATCACTACCACCAGCACGACCAGCACCACCAGGACCTCTCCACCTCCAACAGAAGGAACCACCATCGTCACACCCACTCCAACATCACACACCTCAGCCAGTAGCACAATCAACACTTCCAGGACCACCACAGGAAGCACCACAAATTCCATATCCACCTCTGGCCCTGGTCAAACATCCACTTCTACAAGCCAGGCTCCAACATCACACGGTACTGCCACCAGCCTCAACATATCAACAATGACAACCACCACCGGCACTACTATTGTCCCCATTAGCACTGCACTGCCAACAGAAAGCATGAGCATCAGCACTACCACCAGCACGGCCAGCACCACCAGGACCTCTCCACTGACAACGGAAGGAACAAGCACCAGCACACCCACTCTAACACTGACCACCTCAGCTACAACCACCACTCTCAGCACCTCCAGGACATCTACCACCTGCCAGCCACAATGTGTCTGGACGCAGTGGTTTGACGTGGATACCCCCAGCCCAGGGAGTGAAAATGGAGACAGAGAGACATTTGAAAGCATCCGAGCCGCTGGGTACACACTGTGTGACAAGCCTCAAGACATCAAGTGCCGTGCTAAAGATTACCCTTCTAGGAGTTGGGACAAGTTGGGACAGGTCTTTGAGTGCAGCATCGAATTTGGCCTTGTGTGCAAAAATGAGGATCAGATAACAAAGTACCCCCTGTGCTTTGACTATGAGATTCAGGTGCTGTGTTGCGACACTAAAACCTGCACGGGCACACCAACAACTACAGGCACTACTGCAGGATCGTCCACCGCAGCCTCTCCAAGACAAACCTCCACTCCGCCAACACAGTCTCCAACAGTACACAGTACTGCCACCAGCCTCAGCCCATCAGCAATGACAACCACCACTGGCACCACCATTGTCCCCAGTACCACTGTACCGCCAACAGAAAACACGAGCACCATCACTACCACCAGCAGTGCCAGCACCACCAGGACCTCTCCACCTCCAACAGAAGGAACCACCATCGTCACACCCACTCCAACATCACACACCTCAGCCAGTAGCACAATCCTCACATCCAGGACCACCACAGGAAGCACTACAATGTCCACAGCCACCTCTACTCCAGCTCAAACATCCACTCCGCCAACACAGTCTCCAAAAGCACAAAGTACTGCCACAAGCCTCAGCCCATCAACAATGACAACCACCACTGGCACCACCATTCTCCCAAGTACCACTGCAACGCCTACAGAAGGCATTAGCACCATCACTACCACCAGCACGGCCAGCACCACCAGGACTTCTCCACCTCCAACAGAAGGAACCACCATCGTCACACCCACTCCAACATCACACACCTCAGCCAGTAGCACAATTCTCACATCCAGGACCAGCACAGGAAGCACTACAACGTCCACAGCCACCTCTGCTCCAGCTCAAACATCCACTCCGCCAACGCAGTCTCCAACAGCACACAGTACTGCCACCAGCCTTAGCCCATCAGCAACGACAACCACCACTGGCACCACCATTGTCCCCAGTACCACTGTACCGCCAACAGAAAGCACGAGCACCATCACTACCACCAGCACGACCAGCACCACCAGGACCTCTCCACCTCCAACAGAAGGAACCACCATCGTCACACCCACTCCAACATCACACACCTCAGCCAGTAGCACAATCAACACTTCCAGGACCACCACAGGAAGCACCACAAATTCCATATCCACCTCTGGCCCTGGTCAAACATCCACTTCTACAAGCCAGGCTCCAACATCACACGGTACTGCCACCAGCCTCAACATATCAACAATGACAACCACCACCGGCACTACTGTTGTCCCCAGTAGCACTGCACTGCCAACAGAAAGAACGAGCATCAGCACTACCACCAGCACGGCCAGCACCACCAGGACCTCTCCACTGACAACGGAAGGAACAAGCACCAGCACACCCACTCTAACACTGACCACCTCAGCTACAACCACCACTCTCAGCACCTCCAGGACATCTACCACCTGCCAGCCACAATGTGTCTGGACGCAGTGGTTTGACGTGGATACCCCCAGCCCAGGGAGTGAAAATGGAGACAGAGAGACATTTGAAAGCATCCGAGCCGCTGGGTACACACTGTGTGACAAGCCTCAAGACATCAAGTGCCGTGCTAAAGATTACCCTTCTAGGAGTTGGGACAAGTTGGGACAGGTCTTTGAGTGCAGCATCGAATTTGGCCTTGTGTGCAAAAATGAGGATCAGATAACAAAGTACCCCCTGTGCTTTGACTATGAGATTCAGGTGCTGTGTTGCGACACTAAAACCTGCACGGGCACACCAACAACTACAGGCACTACTGCAGGATCGTCCACCGCAGCCTCTCCAAGACAAACCTCCACTCCGCCAACACAGTCTCCAACAGCACACAGTACTGCCACCAGCCTCAAACCATCAGCAATGACAACCACCACTGGCACCACCATTGTCCCCAGTACCACTGTACCGCCAACAGAAAACACGAGCAGCATCACTACCACCAGCACGACCAGCACCACCAGGACCTCTCCACCTCCAACAGAAGGAACCACCATCGTCAAACCCACTCCAACATCACACACCTCAGCCAGTAGCACAATCCTCACATCCAGGGCCACCACAGGAAGCACTACAACGTCCACATCTACCTCTACTCCAGCACAAACCTCCTCTCTGCCAACCCAGCCTCCAACACCACACATTACTGTTGTGAGTGTCAATCAATCAGCAACCACAACCATTCCTGCTTCGTTGGGGCTTCGCAGTACCATTGCAGCAACAACACAAGGCACAACCACCACCACTACCACCAGCCCAACCAGCACCACCAGGTCCCCTCCATCTCCAACAGAAGGAACCACCATTATCACACCTGCTGAAACAGTGCCCACATCAAGAGCCCGCAGTACCACCACCTCAAGGATCACCACAGGAAGCAGCACGACATCCGTGACTGCTTCAGCAGAATCCTCTCCTTTGGCAACTAAGGCTCCAACATCACATAGTACTTCTTCCCTTGTTGACCCCTCAAGAACAACAACCACTACTGGTACCATGGTTTTCACTATTACCACTGCACTGCCAACAGAAGGTACAACCATCACCACTACCACCAGCACGGCCAGCACCACCTGGACCTCTCCACCTCCAATGGAAGAAACAACCATGACAACCAGTGCTAGAGTACCCACCTCAGCAGTCAGCAGTAGCAGCACCTCAAGGACCACCACAGGAGACACCACAACATTCACGTCTGGTCCATCAGAAACATCCACTCTGTCAACTGAGGCTCAAACTTCACACATTACTGCCTCCAGCCATCACCCTTCAGCAACAATGACCGTATTTTCTACGCACATCCCTGCCACATCTGTTTCTTCTACTGCACTAAGTACTGCCACAATTCCCAGAATTTTCTCTACCACCAGCATCCCAGGTATGTCTTTCATTGCCACTGAAAGTGTTCCAAACATCTATCTCTGTAGAATACCATTTGTTTCATTGTCTTCTGTAAGTTGTATCTCCAAATTATTCTGTGATCATCTCTATTTTTCGTAACATACACACCATCAAGTTGCTCAGTCCTAGATGTTATTCAGCAGAGATAAAACTTCCACAATCTCTACTTAGCCATACATCAAATAGTTTAATGCAAATAAAAATGCTGACTTGATTTTCCTGAATGTTTAACATCACCCTTTAATATATTATGAAATGAAAATCCTGTGCTGCAAAGTTTTTCTTTTTTTTTTTTAACAGTAACAACCTCTGCTACACCACAATCAAGTCATGTTACAAGAATCACTTCTCCAGTCTTCAGTTCTGTCTCCAGCACACCTGTCACAACAGAAGCAAGTACATTTGTATCATCAACTGGAACGACTCCATGTTTTTGTCATGTATATGGTAATTTTTTTTCTCCTGGTAAGTGTCTTATGTTATGATTATAATTCATTTCAGAAATAATACAATCTCTTAATACTCTTCAATTTAAGACAACTGCTCAGTATCACTTGAACACAGAACTTTGTATATATGTATACACTTTATATTTTCACAATATTTTCTTGAGGTTTTTCCCTGACATATTTTCACTGGTCTTTTAATTTCTCCTCCAATTTTCCCCTACAGGAGAAGTGATATACAACAAAACAGATGGCGCTGGCTGTAATTTTTATGCACTTTGCAGCAAGGAATGTGAAATTGACCGATACCAGGGGCCATGTCCTACAACAACTTTCACTTCAACACAAGCCACCTCATCCACAGAACACAGATTTTCTTCCGTCTCACAGACAACAGCAACATCCACCACAAGTTCAGTAGCAAGAAACTGTACTTTTGCCAATCCTCTGCGAAAGGTGGTTTCCCTCATTATTTTCTAATATATCACCACTGCAAAACCAGCCCAATTTCTGTCCTAAAGTCCCAGCTGAAATCAACTTGTATGTATTTCAATAACTAAGTTGGCCATGTTCCAAATGACCTGACAGCATGCAATTCTTCCACCTGGCATTACCAGGCTTTTATATAATCTGGAGGTAGAAAAGCTCACTAATATCATAGCAGAGCCTTTTCTTTTTTTAAATAAAAGACATTTAAATGTCATAGAAATAAGCAGACCAACTATGAAAGTGTTAAAACCTCATTCTTTTTACAAAGAAGAGAGTTCCATGGTTGCTCTCAGCCTGCCATCTCTTAAGGCCTGAAACCATATGCTAAGAAAACTCTAACATGAACTCCCTACCAATTTTGAGTGTATCTCAAGTTGAAACAGAAGAACTAGGGTGAGAGAGCACTTGACAATAATAATGTACATCTTTTTAGCCTGGAGAGCACTGGATAAGTGAATGCCAGAAGTGTGTCTGCGACCCCCACACTGCTATCGTACAATGCCAGCCGATTCTATGCCCAACAGCTCAGACACTAATTTGTGACCTTGGATATGTTTCTGTGCCTGTACTACCACAAAAAGACTCATGTTGTCCTGAATACCAGTGCAGTAAGTATTAAGAATACATATATAAATACCAAGCTACACAACCTGGTAAATGACATTTGCACTTCTGTTAGTATCTATGCAAGTTTTTCGTGTATCACAGCAACAGCAAAACCTTCCTCAAATTGTTTTGGCTCTCTGAACATATATCAGTTTTTGGCTAAACATGTATTAGAAGTTTATTTAAAAGCAAAATGCTATTTTCAGTGAAGTCTGCTGAGAACTGGTATCAGTGGGAAAAGAGGATAATACTTTGAACCTTCAAGTGGTCTATGTAAGCTCAACCGTGTCTGTATCTGTAATAATAAAGGTTATTAATTTTTTTAATGTTATTAATGTAATGTTGGAACACATTAATATTAACCTAACTGTAGCTGAACTGAGATCTGTAAAACATATTAAGTCAGCAGAAAGTTTAACTACAAAAACAAAGAAAGTTTAACTACAAAAAAAGTTAACTACAAAAGCAAGTAACACATAGCAATACAAAGTGAATTGTAATCAGTAACTGAATTGTCAGTGTATGAAAAATAATTACACTGTTGTTGAATGCTCATGAGAATTCAAAAATCCAACAGAAACATGTTTATTTATATACAAAAAAAATGTTTAATATATACTTTTTTAATATATACAAAAATACTTATTTTGCTCATATATTTATACAAAAGAATAAAAAAGAAACCATAAATTAAATGCAAGACAGGAACATCAAACCAAATACCCAGTAGTTCTGTGAAGACATGAATGGGCTCTGCCATGTTGCTAAATTGTTTATATTATCACAGTAAGCATGTATTTTTTTCCATCCAGAATCAGCCTTCCACCCAAGCCATTTTCTGAGAGGTCACAAGGAATCAGCAACAAACACACCTTCGAAGTTTACTGGACTTCTAGAGTTCAAAGAGGAAACAGTTAATTTAATTTGAAGTGAACTTGGTATTAAAAGGGAAAAAAAGAGATTTTATTCATGCATAGCTCAAGTTTTAAGTCATTCCTCTTCATCTTCTAGCTAACTCCAAAGATGAAACTTCACTTAAACATCCAGCCATACTAAATATGAAGTATAAGAATGTAGGGTTTAATTCAGGTTTTCCATGATCTCTGACTTACTAACAAACTTGGTGATGACTTCTCAGGGAGTCTCATGATTTGAGCTTACTGCAGAATTATTTCTTTGCTTGTTTTTCAGAACCAATAGATGGCATCTGTGTGATTAACGATGCAATGTACAAGGTGAGAAAGTTATAGTGATATACTACTGGAAGCTAAATGCACACCCTTTTTTGCCAAAATAAGCCTTTGAGAAAGTTCTTTTCCCAATACATGTTTTTTTCTCTCTAGCCCTTAACTGGAAGGTAATTTTTTTCTAATGTCAAAACCAAAATTATCACACAAGTGCTATTTCAACATCAAGCATGAAACAGGAGTAACATTTTTAGTGATACACTTTCTTTTTAAACGATCTCCCACTTCTGGAATTCGTGAATTTTCCAAATAAGCTGATGAATAGCCCAAACTCAACCACTCTTTGAAATAAGTTCAGAGAACCTTTAAAAATAAAAGTATGATTTTTGCTTTAATCAATACCTAAATCTTTTTCTAAAATTGGTACTTAGGTCATTCAGTCAAAATATAAGCACTAGCACTGGAGCCTTTTGGGGATACATTTCTGGAAGACAAAATCCATGTGTGGATTTCTATCTCTATTTAGGTATCTGCATAAGTATGCCACTATTTTAATCTACATTTGGAAATTATAATTGTTTTATAACCACTGAACATGACTTACAAGGAAAAAAAAATCTTAAAAGGAGCAATGAAAATCCGGTAAAACAATGAGGCAGTGCAAATCAGTCTTACCTGCATCTTATTAATTTACTTTTCTCTTTTGTATTGCTTCATAGTTTTATCCTAATGTGTATTTTCTTGCAAGACATAAAGCCAAACAACATTACCTTTGACGAGAATCAGTTGCAGTTGCATTTCAGCAGTGCTTTCAATTCTGCCTATACATTTTATAGAAATTCTTGTCATCTGAGGGTATTTTTCTGTATTCCAGGCTGGAACATCGACAGTCATCAATTCATGCAAGAATTGTACCTGCACTTATGAGAAAGATCCAGTGAATAATACAAATATTGCGCACTGTGAAACAGTTCAATGTGAAACATCTTGCCCACTGGTGAGTTCAAATTCTCTGGGCTGCCCAGTCAGCCCGCTATTACAGGAAGATTAGAATTCTGCATGACCGACTCAACATACTTTCTCTTTCATCTCCTTGTGAGTAGGGTTACCAATACATGACTGAGGATGGAGAGTGTTGTGGGGAGTGTATTCAAGTAGCTTGCGTAATCAAACTAAATAACACCATTCACGTGCTCCGAGTAAGTATTCCTTTAATTTTCAGATCTATTAGCTAATACGGGTTACAACAGCTAAGAGTCAATTAATTTCCGTTAATAACAAAAATGTAGTTAATATTAAAATTATTCTGAAAACAATGCTTGAATACTTCCTTGGAACAACACATTCCTGGTACGTGTGGTTAACTGGGCAATAGGTTCTAATTTGTACTGTAAGTGTTCAGATTCAGGATTTAAGCTTTCAAACTAGCCATAGGTTTGTAAAATTTTGCTTTTGCCACTTGAAAGAAGTTCAGAGGCATCTGAGAATCTTTGAGGCATGAGAACTCAATTGGCTCAGGCATTTGTGAAGTAATCATCCTATATTTGATCACAATGAAAAAAAACCTGTTTCCTTTTCTGATAAAATCTTAGGTTGATGATGTCCTGTCAACCGATAACTGCACCCATTACAAATGTGAAAAAATTGAAGATCAATTTGTTGCAGCCCAAACTAAAAAAATATGCCCTGAGTACAATCCAGAAGAGTGTGATCCGGTAAGTTTCACTCAGTTCATCAACTGAATGCAGTTTAAAACTTGGCAGAGGGAGGGGGGAAATGGGACGACAACACAGACATGAAGACAGGCAGAGTACAAAAAAGCACTTTCACTGAAGTTGCAGGAATGTCTTCAGAATTAAATTAATCTTGCTGTAGCATTAGTAATAAGAAAAAGTTGGTACTTTTACATGAGGCTACCAGGATTCAAGACTTCTATGGTGGGCACATTAAGTCATCCATCATTTTAATTCAGTGTTCATCACAGATGAGTCGTCTGCCCAGTATCAGTAATGCCAACTCATATTCTTACTCATAACTGTCATCTGTGCATTAATCCATATCCTTCTCCTTTCCCTTTGCAAAGGATGAAACAGAGAGTACTCCTGATGGGTGCTGCAAAATATGTAAACGTAAGTAATGCTGTGTTTGTGTTTTCTGCTTGAAGAGTGCTGTATTCAACTTGTAATTGCCTTTGAGTAGGTAGGATTTTTCATTCCTCCAGTTTTCTCTTACTCTATTTATCAAGATCCTGTGTTTCACTATTTATTCAAAAGGAAAAAGCAAATTTGTTTTCTTGATAGTGAGTACCACAATTCAAAATTCAGTGCTCAAGCCTCTGCATTATCTTCCAAACCCCCTATGCATCCAAGATCAAATAATAATCTGAAAACTCCAGGCACTTTACACAGTATTCCCCATCACATACTGTACATTCTTAATAATTGGACATCATGCATTTTGAAATTGTTTTAGCACTCAGTTCTGAACTAGAGATCTGAATTTTATGTTTTTTTTCCCCCTCTTTTTCTGAAGCTACAAACTGCAAAGTCTATAGCAAAAAGACTGTGATCCGCCTCGGTGACTGTGAATCTTCAGTACCTGTTGAGCTGACATACTGTGAAGGAACTTGCCCTGGCTCCTCAGTGTAAGTTCCAGAATCTTGACATCTCTATGGTTTCATTCATACTTTATTTATACTGGTCTCTCATGTTAATCAATTGCCCAAGCTTACTGAGGAACCTGGTGGAAGTGTTCACCAAGCCACTTTCAACCCTTTATCAGCACTCCAGGCTAACTGGGAAGTTGTAAATGTGACACCCATCCACAATAAGGGCCAGAAGGAGGATCCAGGGAGCTACAGGCCTGTCAGTCCGACCTCCCCTGCCAAGGAAGGTGATAGAGCAGATCATCTTGAGTGCCCTCATATGGCACATGCAGGACAACCAGCTGATTAGGCTCAGTCAGCAGGGGCAGGTCCTGCTTGACAAACCTGGTCTCCTCCTAAGACAAGGTGACCTGGGTAACCTGCTTAGTGAATGAAGGAAAGGCTGTAGATGTTTACCTGGACTTTGGTAAAGCCTTTGACCGTTTCTCACAGTATTCCCTTGGAGAAACTGGCTGCTCACGACTTGGACAGGTGTACTCTTTGCTGGGTAAAAAAATGGCTGGAGTTAAATGCAGTTGGCAGCTGATCACAAGTGGGATGCCCCAGGGCTCGGTGTTAGGCCAGTTCTGTTTAATATCTTTATGAGTGACCTGGATGAGAGGATCAAGTGCACTTTCATTAACTTTGCAGACAACACCAAGTTGGGTGGGAGTGTTGATCTGCTGGAGGGTAGAAAGGCTCTACAGAGGGATCTGGAGAGGCTGGATCAATGAGCTGAGGCCAGTGGTATGAGGTTCAACAACACCACTAGGTCTTGCATTTGGGCTACAACAACCCTATGCAATACTACAGACTTGGGTCAAGAGTGGCTGGAAAGCTGCTTGGTGGAAAAAGACCTCAAGGTGCTGGCCAACAGCTGTCTGAACATGAGCCAGCAGCATGCCCAAGTGGCCAAAACGACCAACAGCATCCTGGCCTCTATCAGAAATAGTGTGGCAAGCAGGACTAGGAAAGTGTAAGTTCCTTTGTACTTGGCCCTGGTGAGGCTACACCTGGAATGCTGCATTCAGTTTTGGGCCCCTCACTATATGAAACACATTGAGCTGCTGGAGCATGTCCAGAGAGTAATGAAGCTGGTGAAGGGTCTGAAGAACAAGTCTTAGGAGGGAGTCAAGTTTTTTTAGGCTAAAGAAAAGAAGACTGAGGGGAGACCTTATCACTCTCCACAACTACCTGAAAGGAGGTTGTGATGAGGTGGGTACCTGTCTCTTTTCCCAGCTAAGAAGCAACAGTACAAGTGGAAATGGCCTCAAGTTGTGCCAGGGGAGGTTTAGATTGGATATTATGAAAAATCTCTTCACCAAGAAGGTTGTCAAGCACTGGAACAGGCTGCCCAGGGAAGTGGTGGAGGCACCATCCCTGGAGGTATTTGAAAGACACGTAGAAGTGGTTTAGTGGTGGGCTTGGCAGTGTCAGAACTCATGATCTTAAGGGTCTTTGCCAACCTCCATGATTCTGTAATCACAGAATAGCAACAAAGTTAATGTGTTTATATGATGCTACTGAGTGGAATCAGAGTCAATGGACACCAGAAAGTTTCACTACTGAAGAGACAGGTAATTAAAATTACATTCGTAAGTGTGTGCGAGAAAGAGGAAGAGGATGTAAAAAAGAGAAACCAAACCCAAACCCACTCTCAAGCCCCCAAGAAACACAAAAACAAAGCTTACTCTGGAGTTTCAGAGTTTTGAATGAGAAGATGTATTTTCTTTCCTGGCGGAACACAGGTATTCTTTTGAAGCAAACCAGATGCAACACGAGTGCGGCTGCTGCCAGGAGTTCAGCAGCCAAACAAAAGAGGTGACCCTGACTTGCCCAGATGGAACAAGCATGAATTATAGCTATGTTTACGTGGATCAATGCCAGTGTACGAATGCATGCACCTCAGACACTTCTGCAGCATCTGATTCCCAACAGAAAATCAGCAGACGAAAGAGATGATCACTAGAAAAAGAAAGCCTAGAGAAGCTGGAATCTTGTTTTCTCCACAATAACTTGTGCTCCTTCTTTAACAGATCTCGTGTCAATTTCTGTTATCACCTTTTCTCATTTCTTACTTGTAAAAGAATATAAATAAAAGTCAAACAATGAAATCTTAGTGAGGTTATTTTAAGTGATACAATATTCAGGAGAAAAAACAAGACTAAAATGACTTGTGTCAATTATAGAAATATGACAATGTTTCATACAATCACTGACATTTTTGAAAAAAGTTTTAAGGGGTCTCAAAAAAACCCAGACCCCTACCCTAAACCACAAAACATTGTCACTACATTGCACTTTACACTCTTGTGCCTAGAGAGCATTGCTGCTTATCATTTTTATGGATATAGTAGTCCAGACATCCCAGAAACAGGTAGACCGTTTTATTTGATACATAAAATTTTCAGCATTTTTCCATTCTGGTGATTGTTCAATACCCAGTTTCATTACCTAAATGATGGAGAGTCCAATGTCATCAGGGAGTTTTCCAGCTTAGACCGGGTATGTTCTTTAGCAGCTTTTGGGAATGAAGACACACTCAAAACCCTTTTCCTGGATGAGGTTCAATTCTGTTACAACATAAAGCCTGACACCTTCCCTGAAGGCTTGGCTGAAAAATAAAGGAGGAACTGTTTGATCAAGTAACTGCGTGTTTTATATGTGCTTATTTAGAAGGGAAATTTGATCCCTGAATTAAATCAGTGAAGCCCTATCTGTCGGCCTTCACAGACATGACCTGATACAAGGATCAAACAGTGGGGAAACGTAGGAAGGTTTGTAAGCTTCACATTTTACTGCTGAACTCCATCAATCTGTTGACTGCCCATGATTTGCCTGTCCCATAGCTGTCATGCAGGCTCCGGACAGGGTAACTAGCCATGACAGTGGAGCAGATAGCATACCACTCCCTGCACCTTCTCTTCTCTGATCCAGTAATAAGCCACTTTTCACTTAGAACCTGGGCTGTTTCACAATGTCACCAATGCATCCTCAGACCCTAAACACCAGGTACTGCTATGAGGAGACATCCAAACAGTCCCGAACAGAGGGACTAGTTGATTAAGCAGTTTGAGAGCTTCCTAGGTTTCTGACTTCCAGAGGGCTTAGCACTTTAGGCACAGCACCACAAAAACGGGGTGCCTGATGGGATCTAGAACTGTATTGCACTAAAAACCAGGATCTAGAACTGTAGTGCAATGAAAAAACAGCACTGCTGGCTGTAGGTGGGCCTCCTGAGAGGCATTTGCATATGTCAGTCACATTAGGCCTGGCATTATACCTTGAGCTAGCAATATTGATCTAAGCAAGATAAATCAATGTCTGCAGAACCGAGAAGTCAGGGTTCAGACCCAGCGACGCTTACATGACATATAGCAAATGTAAACACTTCTAAAGTAGGCTTTGAGTTCAGACTGAAACCAAGGAAATCTGCATGCTTCCCCCCTTACTCCCTAACTCCCTTGTTCCTGTATTGTGAGTATGTAGCACCATGTTCACCAGTTACAAACCTTCCCCTTCCTCCTCTGCAGGTTTTCCTCTACTGTTTCAAACACTGTGCTACCATGTCAGCAGTACACTTCAGCTCAAGTCCTAAGCTGCCCTCTAACGGTCATTATTCACTTTTCTAAACCAGGAACTATTCCCTTAATTCTACTGGGAACAAGAAACCTTGCTGACCATGTTCATCCATCAGAGATCAATTATATATAATATTATAATGATTTTTTAAATTTGAAATTCCCGTATTATGGAAGATGTCAAGGCTATTTCTCAAAGCTGAACACCACATCATTTCCAAGTAGCTGCGATCAGTTATGTAGGACTTCAATTTGAAGATACCATTGCAATCCTCAGTGATCATGTACAGCATTCCTAAAAAGAAAACACAAAACAAACCACAAAAAAAAGAAACCACACCAAAAAAAAACCAACCTCAAAACAACACCAACACCTCCCCAACCTGAAAACAAAAATAACCCCAACAGAATTTGCTATTTAGAAGATAGAATCTCGATAAGAGGGGGGTCGGGGGCTTGTTTTGTTGTTTGATGTGGTGTCCCACCTACCCCCCACTTTGAAAACCAGCCCACTGCAGAATGCTAGAAACCACTGCATTGGCTCTGTTCTCCCTAAAATATTTTCCCTTTTTTTAAGGGAAATCTATTATTGTCCCTTTTTTCTCAAGCCTACATGGAAGAAAACCCAGGGATTTTGCACTCTTAAGTAAATGGGATTCAGGAGAAAACAAACATGTAGATTTCTCTTTGAAGAAAATGCTATGCTACAATCACAAGCCCAAGGAACCTCTAGAGATTACTTTAAAGCAGAGAAATCAGCTGAATAGAGAAAAACAAAACAAAACAAAACAAAAAAAACCCAACAACTCACCAACATACCATTGCTTGATATGCAATAAGTTATCATTTATGTTAAAAAATGTCTAGTTATTATGTACTACATCAAGCTACTTACAGCATGATAAAATGCACATACACCTTGAATTTTATGGCTATTATTTCCAAATATACTAACTGTACATTCACAGCAGCAAAACAGTTCATTAGAGAACTACAGATTAATAAATTATATTTAAAATAAGAACTAGAATATTATAGAAAATCAATCCAGAGCTTTCCTGTCATTTCCATGGTGTATCAAACTAATCAGGAAGTGCTGACTTCCCATCCTATGAGATTTACCAGTAACAAATATACTGATGCTTCACTAAAAATTACTGCAGAAAAGCATTTAACTACAACAAGAAATAGAACACCGTTTTTCTATTCCACCAACTAACTAATTCCAGGGACTACTGCATCAGGGAACGTTATGTAGTAAGATGCATATACATGGCACAGCTACCCAGGGAGTGTATTTCACGGATGTGTCAATACTTCTAAACAAATCTGTCAGCCATCCTGAGAATCTTAAGCAGCTTAGTGAATAAGGTGTCCCGCTATACATAGAACCATTTACAAGTTTTATTGTCTGATGATCTAAACTGGGCAAATATGAAAGATATGCTGGTTTTCTGTAAAAGCAAGTGCATTTGTGGAACTGTAGTACTTAACCACACAAAATATATTTGATAAGTTTCAGATCAATACCTGTAATATATACCCAGACATCATCAGCTAGAAGACAGAATTTAGTATCACTGAACAAATTAAACTGGGTATCTGTACCACGTTCATATGCAAGGCCTTTTACCTCCAAATCCAAATTCATGACATATGCTTGCTCTATATTTTCCAAAGCACAAAATACCAGCAGAATTCAATCAAGTGGAGGCCTGGAAAGCAGCCAAATAGACTAAAAGCAATCTGAAATACTTCAAATCCCTTCTTTACATCACTTAGCAAAGATTTCAAAGTTTAGCACGCTGACAATCACCAAGAATCTATTGTAGCAATGAATCTCTCAACCTTGAAGGGTAAACTTGAGAGGCATCCATGCTCATGGGAAGACCCTGGCCTGTGCGCAGGAAAGCTCAACAGGCCCTGGAATGTCCACTATTTACAAAATCAGACTTATATTTGCATACCAGCAAGACATCGGGGCCCCTTCCAGCCAGCCACTGGCTGCCAAGTTGCCATCCATCCCCCAAAGCAAGCTGGATGCAGTCATCACAAGTCCAGTGGTAGTCATGACATACGGGGTGGGACAGACACAAACCATCACGTTTTCAGGTAGACAAAAATAGCACTTCAAAACATTTAGGATGACGAAGAGTTCTCAATTGTCCTGCTACAGGTCATATGATGATTTTAATTTGAGCTGCAGAAAAAAAATAATATTCCCTTCACAACTTCTTACAGTACTGCAAGAAAACGGAAGCAGGTACCTCAGAGGTTATTTTCTGCACAATGATCTCAGCATCAGTTCTGCCAGCAGCAGCGCACAGGTGAGATCAATTGATAGCCTGTTCCTGTTAGTAAGACTTGAATCAAATTGAAACATCAAAATGAGTATTATAGCTTATAGTCAATTAACAATCAAGTGAAAGCAGAGTTCACAAATAAAAGACATCTGAAAATATAACAGTAACCACACACTCCAGTGCTCACCATGTAACCTGTAATGAAACAGAGCCTGATCTAAACCACTGAATTCAGTGAAAAAATTCATGCCGATCCCATGTTTCGAATCTAACCTTGCATTTATGGGGAAAAGCAGATAGTGTTGTTTAAAATATGTAATATAAGTACCCCATTCACAAAACTACAGCCTTAGTCTTATGACTACAATGATGAGGTTTGCTAGTCACCTGCCACAAGAAACAGGGTTTTTTCTAAACACTTCTCATCCTCCTCCTTTTGCTGGTAACATTTTAAAAAGCCCACTTTGCAATCCTTCACAGGCTGTCCTGAACTCAAATCAAGCTCTGGCCACCTGAATTTTCTCCCTGCAGGGGCAAACAGCATCTTCATAGCTCTCCTCTATTGTCCTGTCCTTGCTTCTAGTGTCCATACACTTTCCTTTTCCATCTAAGCTCTAGAAGATCCCTGCTTGGCCAAGCTGGCCTTCTGCCCCGCTTGCATGACTTCTGACATGTTGGAATTGCCTGCTCCTGCATTCTTGAGAGTGCAGTGACCAACATGCATGGACTCCCAATACCTCAAAAGCAAGATTCCCAGGGAACCTTACTAAGTCTCTCCTCCAGCAACCTGGAGTCTGCTTTCCCCGTATCTAGGGTCCAAGTTTTGTTGGCAGCTTTTCCTCCTACTGCCAATGATTTGAAACTCTACTTTGTCGTCACTGTGACCAAAGCACCCACCAATTACCACTTTGCCCACAAGACTCTTCTCTCTGTTTACAAATGACAAATCTAGGAGGGCACTTTTCCTCACTGGCTGCCTCATAACTTGGTCCTGTTTGTGTCCACTGTATGATATTCCCAGCTGATGGCTGGGAAATTAAAATCACCCACAAGGACAAGGGTAGTTTAGATATACCCCTTAATTCCTTGTAGAACAATTCATTGCTGTCATCATCCTGGCTGGCTGGTCAATAGTAGACTCCCCTTCATCTTTACCTGAGGTACTCAACCACACTGACAGCAAGCACCATACAATCCAACTCCTCCCTTACATACAGCACCACCCCACTG